AGGGTTTCTTTTCCCACGATCTCTCGGATAACAACCATATTTCAATGAAAATTATATATTTGTTTTTTGTTTTCGACATAATGAAGAATGTATAGTCAACGAACAGTTTTAAAGATGATCCAAAATAAGTGTTTTTTGCAACTTTCGTCGTGCATGTCTCTATTTTGCAAAATCCTGGTGTGCATGCCAAATCACCTACCTATAATTAATATTAAAAATGAAGTATCTTTCGGATGCCATGCAGTTTGGAATTACAGAAATCCTGTATCAAATAGTTTTCCTTAAATTTTTCAACATTGGTCAGACGAGGGTCTCTGCCAATTCTTTCAGAGTTTTTTTGTTACTAAAACTTAATTTCTTTACATCGACATGCGATTAGAAAACACGGAAGTCCCCTTCGATTTTCTTCAGTTTTTCGTAACCCTTTTGAGCCCTTTCGGCCGCTGCGGATTGCATGCCATCAATTATTATTAGACACTGTGTCCATAGAGTCATCCGCCGCCCCCCTGGTTACATTTTGAACGGCTGGGTATTTTTTTCTTATTCTTTTTTGCTTCAATAGTAGTTTCAGTGCTACATTTTGAATAAAAAATAATATGTATCTTCCAAAATTTTTTTAAGTAGAGTGGGGGGTCGGAGGATACCTCAATTGAAAGGTTTTTTGTTCATCTATACAACCTCAGAATTTCAGACAAAAATATTTATCTAAAACAAAATGGCAGATGATAATGTTTGAAATCTCACAACAGGATTTTTTCGACTAGATGGCTATCAAAGTGCTGTCATGTGATCTTCAACTCTCTTTTGGCGTCTAGAAAAGTTCTCTATCCATGCTGGAGATACCAAAAGGAAGCCATTTCAAAGAAATTTTTTCATAATTTTGCTGGCTCTGGAAAGACAATCAAGCGAAGGTATAATTGACTACCATGTTATTTTCTGGAAAAAAAGTTGAAAAAAAAATCCCAGCCGTTCGAAAGCTAACCAGGGGGGAGTGACTTTAGGGACACAGTGTATATTATACAGGGTGTTTCAGATTTGAATGTACAAACGATACCTGTAGATAGAGGACATTGTGATGGTTCCAAATCACCCTCCTTTGATGTGTCTAACGTCTTTTATAACTGATATACAGGACTTTATCTTGATTTTGGCCAAATCATCATCTGGACATAGCTTTTGAACCACTTTGATAATCTATCCATGCTTGGTAGAAATATTTCACTCATAATAACCATCAAAACTAAATGAAAATCGGGATCAGAATCCAGGTCCCTCGTGAGGAGAAACAGAAAACTTCTTTTATATCAAAAACAACACTCTGTATGGCAAAATTTTGTAGATCTGTTTCGATATTTGGAAAGAGCAGGAAAAAAACGAATGGAGTGACGTACTTTCTATGACCGCGCATCTGATTTGACAGATGTTTTATTATTATTTTCTGATATACTCGGCTCCATTCTGAGTCATTTTCATTGAACTCGTAATTCAAAATCCAATTATTTCACGAACTAATAACAGTCTTCAGAGTTCAACATCATTGGAGTAAAATAGATCTGTTCGTTCGACAGAATAACGTCTGTGGTTTTGGAAATTTTCGAGGGCTCGTTTTATTCTTCACTATTGATTCATGAGCTGCGGTAAAGTAGGCTGTGCAAAAAAATCTGATATCCTGACAGTTCATAATCACTAGTTTGATATTATTGGTAACGTTAAGATAATTGTTGGTACTTGTTCATTGGGTTGTTACATTTCAAAGTGTTTATAACTATGCCCCAACACAATAAACTTAATGTTGTCACTGGTGATTATGATCTGTCAGAAATTTGAAATTGTTTGCACAGCCTAGTTCACCGCAGCTTATGAAAAAATAGTGAAGTATAAAAGAAGTCTTCGAAAATTTTTAAAATCATTGACAAGCTATTCTGTCAAACAAACAAATCAATCAATAGTTCACCTGATTTGACTCTACTGAAGTTTAACTTTGAAGACAATTATTTTTTTGTATCAAAATTGGATTTTGAATTACAATTCAATGAAAATGCCTCGAAATGGGGTGAATATTTCAAAACATAACAATAAACCATCTGTCAAATTGGATACGCGCTCGTAATGATCGGTCACTTTATTAATTTACTCCTGCTCTTTCCAAATATCAAAACAGATCCACAAAAGTTTGCCATACGGAGTGTTTTTGAAATAAAGAAGTTTTCTGTTTTTCCTTAAGAAGAACCTGGATTCTGATCTCAATTTTCATTTAGTTTTGATGTGTAATATAAGTGGAATATCTCTATCAAGTATGAATAGATTATACAACGTGGTTCAAAATATATGACCAGATGAATTTTTTGCCAAAATCAAGACAACGTCCTGTATCTGTATGGGGGTGATTTGAAACCGTCAAAGTGTCCTCTATCTGCCAGTATCGGATGTACATTCAAGTCTAAAACACCCTGTATACAACGGCAGGCAGTATAATATCGCGAAAATACATGAAAATTCTTCACGAAAAAAAAAATGCTTTCCCAATTGTTCATATTTTGGGTTTGATCATAAAGCCATCTCCTGGTCTATCACCTTTTCTCTTGCAGATCGTCCTGTTGTGTCTGATGATGGCAACCACCTGTTTTGCCGCCCCCGCTCCCCACGGCCATTGGGGAGGCGGTGGAGGAGGAAGCAAAATAATCATCATTAAGAAATATGGAGGTGGGGGATACGGAGGACACCAAGGGGGATATGGAGGACACCACGGAGGAGGATACGGGCATGGAGGAGGCTACGGCGGAGGCTACGGAGGGGGCTACGGAGGAGGGTATGGAGGAGGTTACGGAGGTGGATTTGGAGGAGGATACGGAGGAGGCTACGGAGGAGGTTTTGGAGGTGGATTTGGCGGGGGTTATGGGAGATAGGAGGGGAAATGAAAGTGCCGAACGGATTTTTGGTCAGTGAAGTGCCTCGAACATATCATTTTAGGCTCTTTGAAGAGTGAGGACAAGCTGAACAAAAAACATAAGACACAGATATGGAATTCAATTTTTCGGTACCCCTTCATTGTACGAGTGCAGACATAATATTATTAGAAATCCTAACAGTGGCGTAACACCAAAGGCACATAATGCTCATTTTGTAGTTATATATAAAAATTGTATCAGTGAATGTATTTCCATGGAATGGATATTGGAATTTGAAGCTTGAACAGACACTTGAAATGTCTTCTCGTCTTTTGGCAGCTTAAATAAATAGTAACCATCATTCTCAAAATTTTTGCAATTCCTAATCGAACAAGAAATTTTCTACAACATTTTCGCGAAGTTGCTCATTCAATTTTGAGAACTGGCCTTTCAAATCTTAGAATGATAACAATTTGAGAATGTCAGTGGTGACAAGCGTGTCCTCACTCTTGAAAGGGTATGAAATGAAGAGTTCGTGGTACTGTAGTGGTCAGTATATAGTTTAGTGATATACAAAGTATTTTCAGTGTTTATTGTCATGTTTTGAATTTTGTTGATGTTTTCTTCTATTGTGATAATTTTTGTATGTTCATAGATGATTTGGGTAGTTAGGGACCGCGTGAAAGAATCCAAACTTCATTTACAAACTGCCGTCAATGAAAAATATATTTATTTTAGTAATTATCACTTTGGATGTATAGAGAATAGTGATAGATGAGTGATAGCCCAGGAGCAATAAAATCAATTATCAATCAGAAGATAGGTGAACGTAGAACGTAGAAGTATACCTATAGTACTTATTGTTATTATTATTTATATTTTTTGTACCTACCTATTTCATTAAGAGTATACCAAATAAAAGTACTCAGATAACATTATGCATTTATTTTCTTCTTATAAGTGGGCGAATAATCAAAACGATTATTTCTCATTGAGTAACAAACGAAATATTGAATGAGGCAATCAAAGCATTATATTATCAAAAAAGAGACATAGAAATCTTCAAAGACTTATGTACGTCAAAATGACGATTATTTACTACCTATATATAAAAGTAACCATCATTTATCCATTCCATTTGCCACATGCCTGGAGATTTTTCTTATGAAAAATCATAATATAGTACGAAATTCACGAAATATATATTGATTATTCCTTACGACTTACTTATTCACATCTTTGTTTCGAATAAATATTCGCATTATCGTATTATCTTGATCCATGAATCTCTCGATTACTTTTTTATCTCCTGGAGCGCACGAAAAGAAATTCCTATATATTCTTCGAGGTGCATCGTGCGTACCTAGGGAGGGAAGAGAGAGGAGGTAGGTGTTGAAAATTCTTTGAACTTTTGGAAACTATATGTTATTTCAAAGGAATTGAAACAATAATGAGAACAAAAAAGTATTAAATATGTTTCATATGGATATAATAATAATAACAAATTGAATACAAAGGAAATGTTGAGTAACATTACCCCCCTCGTTTGATTTCATAACCCCCATTTCTTATAGCATCGATACGTTTACCTCCATAGTGACCACAATGGCTCGAGCCATTGAGATCACTCAATAACATCAATAGCAATTACTCAATAACATCAATATCGTTTTGAAATTTTGAGACTTTGTCAGTCACCAACAATGCTAGATTTTGCCACCATGTAGGCTTATCATGAAAAAAATAATGAATACTTCCAAATCCAACATCCTGTATCTCAAACACGAAGTATGTTTTTTGACAAATTTTTCTGAAATATGACAAGAAATCACATCCATAATTCTTCCGGACTTATTCAGAGATGTATCCTTGTAGCTAGGAAAGCAGTTGTTTTATGTTGAGTATATCGATTAAGAATCAATATTTTCATCATTTCATGTCATGTTCATAATATGTCTGAGAATATTCCTTTTCAATACTTTCATATCCTGTATAATTCACTTCATTTTGAATAAAGATTCACATTATCGTGAATTCTTTTGATCCATGAATCTCTCAAATTCTCGGTTAAAACTATGACATTTTAGAGAAATAAATAAGATTGGAAACAAAGAGGTCTTCGATTTGTTTAATATGGATAATAATAACAAAACAATTGATATAAGAACTCTTGCAAATTTTGAAGGATATAATCTCCTGTTTGATTTCATTTCCCCCATCCCTTGTTGCATCCACGTTTACCTCCATAGTGACCTCCATGCCTCGAGCCACCTCCATAGCCGTAAGATTTCACCAGAATGATTTTGACGCCGCCACCTCTTTTCCTCCCTCCGCAGCATCCCCCGGGTAAAGGAGATGAAAAACAAGGTGGAATCAACATCATCAGAACAAAAATCTGTGAAATAAGTAAAATGAAGCGCTATCATGCATGGAATGAGATCGGATGTAATTCAAATCGCTGAATCTGCGAATTTCGACTAGTAATATCCTCTTCAATCCTTTTCGAGGCCTCAAGTTTTTTTTACTACCAAGGTACTTTTCGTCATTTTATAAACAACTAGTCTATAAACACACACACTGGAATGTAGATACTATTCTGGTTCTGGTACGGGATTCGCAAGAATGACATTCGAATCCAGTAAGTATTTATCAATAAAGACTCATATGCTACTAGATTTTGATCAGACTTGAATACGAGTTCTGTCATAGTGACAATATTTTTTTTATGTTCTGGTTCTCACGAAAAGGGATATCCTGTAATGTTCAGAGAACATCGTGAGAACCAATAAGGGAAATAAGGTAGGAATTGGTGTTCTTCTTAAATTTCTGGAGGTTATATGCCTCGAGAAACACCTCCCTTGGCAATGTGTCCCAGAGCCTAGCTGTTCGTTGGATGAACGAGTCTTTGGAAAGAGATGTTCTGCAGGTCTCCAAAGTGACCACGAAGGGGTGCGAAGCCTCAACTCGACGGGTTAAACTCGCGGGGACTGCCAAGGGAGGAACAATTGTTGGTATTTCAGAAGAGCATCGTCCATGAAAATATCTTTAGTATAGAGCCAGATCGCCAACTTTTCTACGGTGTTCTAGAGAAGTGAATTAGTTTGTGAGCGTGGCATCACCCACTAGACGAGTTGCCCTTTTTTGGGCAGAATCCAACAGTTTCAGGGTATGTTTGGGTGCTGCACTCCAAATATGGGAACAGTATCCCAGGACAGGTCGGAATTGTGCCTTATAGATCATAAGCAGCTGACTGGAAGTGAAATAGCTCCTGGCCCGAACCAGGAAACCATGTTTTAGGGATGCACTTTTAGCAATGGATCTCACGTGATTTTCCAAGAAAGGTTATTGCTGATAGTAATACCAAGCATCGAAATGGATGTCTTCAAAGGTATGGTTACTCCTGACAAGCTTATGCACAGTGAGATCGGCTTTTCTAGAGAAAAGGCATGCTTGTGTCTGTTTGCATTGAAATCTACCAAGTTATTGGATCCCCATTCGAGAATTGCTGTCAAGTGCATATTTATGTTGTATGATAACCAAAAGGGAAAAATCAAGGAATCCGCTTGCATTCTTCTGAACGGAGACAATATCATTGCTTCCTGTTCAGTTGATATAGATTTGTGGTATTCACTACTGAAAACTCAACATGAACATGGTAGATTCAAGATCAATCAATGAAAACATCCAGTAACTGATTTGTATTCTAACACCACTCATTCATATCAACATCAGTATGTCACTGAAAAGTTTCAAACTATAAGAGCACGACTTTCAAAGAAAAATATTTTTGTATTCACATTTTGAGAACGAAATATTCGATATTTTCTCGATATATCTATATTTCTTTTCTTCAAACATTTTTCCAAACAAAGTATCACTGACAAGCTATTTGATTTTTCTATCCAACGGCGACATGTTCTTTGCATCTGACTGCACACCAATATTTGGAAATTCAACAAAACAATAATTGAACTCACCATTACCGCATATATTGTCAACTTCATCTCAAACAGTTCTAGGAAAAAGCAAAGAGGTGTATAGTTAATCAAACTTGTACTTTTCTTACAATAACAGGATCTAATGTTTCTTGACAATTTCAAAACAATCTCTTTTATACATTCATGCTCAGTGATTCTGAAAACTATCGAAATTAACTCACAATATGTTTATCTCACAAATAATTCACCTTTCGAACGAGTGACAATAATTTGGATGCTTAGCTTGGTATACAGGGTGTCCAAAAATTCTGGAAATGGTGGAATATGTCGAATAATATGTTTAATGGTTCGAAAAAAATCTATCCATCAATATACAAAACTCTTCCTTCCACTTTCACCCTCTAGAAAGGGGTATGGGGCAACTTCAAAATATTCCCATTGTCATCGCAAATTCACATTTTACACTGAAAATTACGCTCTTTTTCGATTCGTGATAGCTTGCAAGGGCATCTGCAGAAACTACTGGTTACTATAGAGTCAGTTGATCCTAATTTCCTTCTCAATTCTACTTAGGATGGCAACTTCGTTGCCAAAATACGTATTTAGGGTTTTCCCAATATTATTGTGTTATTTTTTATTTGGTTTTATAACCAACGTTTCCAGAACGTCACTTCAATAAATCTAGCAATGAATGATAATACGAACAATGATCAATGATTATTTACTAATCCATGTCAAAATATCATTTTTTCCTTCACCAGTAATAGCACTAGCTTGAGTTATCTCGATTTGTTGCTTGGATTCCTTCTGCAATCTCTTCATTTGTAACATCAATAGAGCCTCATTTCTCATCTGTCTGTAGCTGACATCCATTTTTGTCAAGACTATCAAGAACTAGAACAAATAAAAAATTATGAGAAATGTATTTGTTTGTTTTGTGAGCCATGTACAATGTACAGGGTTGATGAAATCAGAGCCTCATCATCGGGATTTCGTGAACAATAAAATATTCGGGACCAGTTGAATTATAGCAAAGTTATATATTTTTTTCTAAATGGAATGCCTTTTTGAAAGCTGGAAAATGTATAAGGTTCGGTAACAGGATTGAACGATTTTTAATAAGCCCCTGTTAAGAAACAAAGAATATATTACATTTGGATTCAATAACACTTCTAGTTTGCAAATATCAAGTCCCTAAGATGACCACCGTCTTCTTCTATACTCTGATGCAATCTGTTTCTGAAATTAACCATAACGCGTCTGAGTAAGTTTTCATTTATCAAATTGAATTCCTCACGATTCCTTTCTTTGATTTTAAAAGTGTTTGGGGACGCGTAGAGTACACTTTGGACTTCAAGAATCCCCACAGAAAATAATCCGGGACCGTCAGGTCCGGTGATCTTACGGGCAATGTCACCAAACCTGGAAATTAGGCGATTCGGGGTTTGCACGATGGACTGGGTCAGGATAAATGATTTCACAGCAAATGTCCGTTGATTAACCGGCCGATTTGACATCATAACACAAAACCTTCAATAATAAACTACAATATTATCACTATTTGACGTTTGAAAAATAAACAGTATTTTCCACAGCAACCTTTTCACAACCATTCAATCCTGTTGCCGGACCCTGTAAAAAAATAACCGGAGCTAGGAACCTGAAATTTCATAGGAAATTATTAACTTTGTTCACGTTATTTGAAGAGATTTCATCAAAATGAGTAATACATCAATATTGTCACTCTTATTTCCGTACAAGATTCAAATTTGATATCTAACTTTTCGTTTTCCATAATCCATCTTGAACTTTTTTTTCAACACGAACCTGCTTCGATCGTTTATTTCATTTCATGTTACTTCAGGACACCCCAAGAGCTAACCTATTACAAATTCCGATTTTAATAATTTATTTTTAATATTTCAGATAAAGAAATATCAGAATAATCTATACCTACATGAATTGTTCAACGTTACATAAACAAAATAGTTTCTGGTGGATTTTGAATTTTAAGAACTTATGAAGTGTGCTACATTCATCAGTTTGTTCCAGATATCTGCATTCCAAATATTTCAGATTTTGAGGAGGCATTTTATTCGGTAACGAAATCCTCATCTATCAACCAATTTTTGAGATCCCATTGATGACACCTCGAATTCTTATACCTACTCACTTTGGCATTTGCTAAGCTAGGAAGAACCATGATAGTATACAGCAGCACACATGCAGCAGATATTTGACACAAATTGGATACATCCACCACATAAGTGATTTTCTTGGCATTTCCAAGATACACAGGCCAAAGAGGGGCCATCGAGCCCCCTAACTCTCTCACTTCGAAAATGTTATCCCCCACTCTGATATCGAAAATATTTGTTCCGATGGTTGGAACAGCTGTGGTGGTTTCATCTATGCTGTCACTGTTTTGCAGACTTTTTAGAAGTAAGGATTTTCCAGAGCCAACTGGGCCTAGACATACTATCATTTTTGCCAATAGAACGATAACTGCTATATCGATGTTACCTTGGAGACCATGAGGCTCTCACTTGTCAAGCATTCACTTCTCAGGTCGGTGCTGAAAGAAATAGCTCCTATAATACTCAACACATTGCTAAAGAAAAGAATTAGGAACCTGAAGACGAAATTTTGGACTGTTGACAATGTATGTTTTGAACTCTCTTTAAACATTCCGAATGATAAATCATTTTGTATTTGTTCGTTCGATTTCGAATTGTTTAGTTCATTCCCAGATATAATTAGGTATGAACATAAAATATGGATATATATATAAATAAATACATTGAGAATAAGCATTCTCTATGTGATGAAGATATCAATTCTTTCTCGGTTTATTCAACAGAAAAAAACTACTTTCCTGGCTATACACACGATAAGAATTTGAAAACAAAATCTTCTGAAGTAGAAAATTCGCATTCTCCTTATCATAAATATATTTCTTCTGTTTCTATATCACATGACGGAAGTATGTCCGGAATAATAATCGCTGTATCGCTGTACCATAGATTAAAAAAACCGTGGATGTGGCTCAGATTGAGGGATGGCAGAGGCAGGTTTTCGAGATCTACTATTCAATTGGTATCGGATGGCATAATTCTTATTTCGTTATCAATTCGCGAAATTTGGTGCAAATTACTGCACAGGAAAGGATAGTGATTGGCACCGTTCGATGCCATTCGATGAAATACAATGAGTTAACATGCCCTTGAGACATATATCATTTCGTTATCAGATGACGGTCTGAATTTGCAAAACTATCAGTAAATGCATGCAAGTTGGTTCTTGTTGAAATTTGAACAAATTGAAACCGCGGAAAGAATTTGCATACGCATACGCATACGCCTCCCTCCTGTAGGAAGTCCCGAAATATATAACTGAATATGAGATAAAAAGGGGGTATTTGTTGAACAATTATTTTTGGTGTCTTTTAAGCAAGCGCTTTTTTGTCTCTGGACTTTTTATTAGATATCATCGTAAGCAAAATAAAATACGAATTGTGAAAGCATAACAATACATGAAGTACCCCTTTTCATAACTTTAAAATTATCACGTCAACCAAAGTCCCTGCTCAAAATGGTACAGCTCCTCCTGGACGAGGATATCTACAGCTTGGACAGTATCCTGGGTGATTATTCGCTTGTCCAGGAATGGGCCTCCTCCCAATGTCAGCGCCGATAGAGTCACCTCCTGGCAATGGCCTCCTCCCAATGTCCGCGCCAATAGAGTCACCACCTGGAAGTGGCCTCCTCCCAATGTCAGCACCGATAGAGTCACCTCCTGGCAATGGCCTCCTGCCAATGTCAGCGCCGATAGAGTCGCCTCCTGGCAATGGCCTCCTCCCGATGTCAGCGCCAATAGAGTCACCTCCTGGCAATGGCCTCCTGCCAATGTCAGCGCCTATGGAGTGTCCTCCACGTCGGGGAGCTGCCACGCAAAGGCTGATAACCAGCAGGAAGGCCAGTGAAGTGATCTGAAACCCAAATTTCAAGTAACGTCTCATTCTTATCAGGAAGATAATTTTATACAGGTTGTTCCTTAATGATATGCTGATATTGAAGGGGCCGATTATTCTAGCCATCTCAAGAGTTACACTTCTTATGAACGTATCTCGTAAACGTCCTAACTATTGAAATACAGGGTGTCAATGTTGAAAATATGCATAGATTCTTTTTTTGTCCACCCTCTATCTTTTCGTATTAACAAAATGCATTCTGCTATGTTACTGAATCGGTATGAAAATTTCAAAATGTTATATACTGTGGTTATCCAGTATGGATGTCCTGAATTGAGTACTCAGACTTCAACATTTTAAGTAAGGTCTCGTTTTTCAGTTTTTGTACATGATCAAATGCCTTCTACAGCATTGTACGAAATTTGAGAATTCTTCGTCGTTGCTCAGCCATTTTTTCAAATCAAATGTTGCAAGTGAATTTTGACTCACTTCTGGCCGTCCTATCAACTTGAAATTTGGCAGATGTTCGTAAATCCGGTGACAATACATTATGGAATTTTTGTTGAAATTAAAAAAAAAATGGCTGCTCCAAGATGGCGGACAAGATTTGGTCCGATTCCATTCAAAATTGGTAAGTGAGGGTTTTTGAGGTCGGAGATCATGATTTTCTCGTTAAAATTTATAAATTCAAGATGGCGGCTTCCAAATAATTTTATATAAATGACGATAACTCCGTTGTTATCAACACAAAACTATTACTGCGACATATCATCTGTATTAGAGAAAAAAAAGTTATTTGTAACTAAGTCATAGTGAGCTATGACCTACATTTGAAAAACTAAAGTTGGTGCTGATATCTCAAATTCTAGAAGAGTTGGTATAAATTTCATATTCTTTTCGAAATCACTTTGGAAAACTGCCATGAGAATGTGAAATTCCTATTAGAATATTTTCATAAATAAAGAAGTTACGGAGAAGACATGAAAATTACCAAAATCTGTTTTTTGCGTATAAAACAAAAATGAATAGATTTTATCAAGATATTTTTTCACATTATAGTTGGCCTTGACAAACTCCACATTTGGTGTCATTTAACCGACCTCGTATCTCTCATCTTTAAAAAGATACCCATGGTGAGCATGGTGAGTGGGACACACTGTATATAATGATCTTTCGTGGATGTTATGTGACAAATATCTCATGGAAATTCCATGTTGTTGATATAATATAATAATCTTTCATTGGATATAAGTATAAATATAATCTGTGATAAGGTCATCATCGAGAAGTTATCTAATTTTTTTTTGTGTAGTCAGCTGAAACCTAACAGCTTTTCAGTTCTTCTGAATAAATAAAACGTATGTTTTGAGGTGAAAAATTGAAACAAAATTTGAATCAATTTGAACCTATTGAAGTAACGGCGAATGAAATTCTAATAACTGTTGAACATTGCCTAACCATCAATCCCTCCAAATCTAAAATGCTACTGTTCGGTAACAAAAGCCAGAGGAATCAATGCAAAGATTATTTTTTGTACATCTCAATCCAATCGAAGTCAATAGAATCTGTTGAATCGGCTGGAAACGTGGGACTAACTATGTATTCAGATTCGAGATTTACTGATCATGTAACAACATGTGTTAGGATATATGTATAGCTTTTCTATGATTCTTGGTAGAAAGACGGAGAAAATATTGTGCAATTCCTTAGTTTTGAGCGATTTCAACTGTGCGTGATCGAAACCGAGTACAGTATGTGCAGAATGCTTGTGCTAGGTATATTTATGGAATCCGTAGACGTGATTCTATTTCACACAAAATTACCGAATCTAATAGGCCTTTTCATTTAGATGACAAATGCCTATCTCTGCTTACATCTCACATCCAACGACAGTGGCGGCCATTTTTACCGAAACACTTACACCATAGTACCACACTCCTCAGTAACGAGCAAGTAAGTTTTTTGGAATTAAAGTATCATAATACAATTAATACACACCAGGAATATACAAACAAAAATACTATGTTGTTATTGTTGTTTCTATATGACGAATGCCCATGGTGGTTGACACTGTTGACATTTGACAGAACGTTAATAATAACCGCCATATTCGAAATGGCCAATCAGCAATTTGTGTTGGAACTATATAGCCAATGAGACTTCACCTTCGCATTACCCAAGTTTTTGGATCTAAAAACGAGCGCATGCGTCTCAAAATTATATCTAGATGAAAAGGCCTATTGGCTGACTATGATGCGTCTAAGATAGCTCTCACATACTTCTTGCTATTTTCATGAGGTGATCCTTCAAAAAACCCGAAATTATTTATATGAAATTATCACATTTCATGAAGATTTTCACTAGAGAAAAACAAGATACATCACATTTCAGCTTCTAAACAAAGATCCTTTCCATATCATAGCTGAAATATACAATGCTCTCCCAGATTCGCTGACGGTTTTGAATGTCGGCAGATTCAAGTCTACATTGAGAAAAAATATACTTGAAGGTATATACAGTTATATAAATATGATATTTCACTCCACGGTCAGTCTAATATAATAGATTTCTTCAGCTCCGTTTATTAATAAACTCATTTACCTATTATTTATGCTATAGATACATGTGTAGAAATATTTACAATTTTTATTATTTGAACTGAGCATATTCTTTGATTTATATTTGTAGCGGGTTGAATGAAAGAGCAGCCCCCTGCATTCTTGGAATGTGTGTGACTGAATGCCGCTCTTCTGTACCGTGGTATGAACAAAGACATAATATCATTATTATCATTATTTTTGGAAATAGACATAAACGTTAAAATTCGGGGATAATATTTTGATAATATCAAAGTTCATATTCTTACGTACTTTTAAGTACTTACCAACACTTTGGAGCTCATATCTGCTAATTGGTGATGTTTTCAATGTTCTAACGATAGTCTCCTGAATGATTTTATTTATATTCGTCCACCATGAATCAAAACTTATATAACACTATTATGGATGAATGTATATAGATACATAAACAGAGAAATGATGAAATTAAAACAATATTGACTCACAAAATGATTAGCGAGGCGAATACTATACTGAGTGATAATTAATAATGACATTGATATAGGATAAGTGAATTCAATATCTATCAATACAATAATGAATCTGACCAAGGCTAACATGATACTCTCTGATCTGTTCTCAGAAATAAGCATAGTGAAAACCCAGAAAATAGATATATATCGAGAAAATATTCAATTTGGACGAAATGAAGAATTGATCTCGCGAATAATTTTTTCTCTTCCTCTTTCTGACGCTTTCCAGTTACAGAGAAGTTAATAGAAATGTGTGACTACAGGGTGTTTTTGAATTGATCATGCATTCACCATATTTTCATATCCATATCAACTGATGAACATCAGGAAGCAATGTGATTGTCTCTGTTCAGAAGAATGAAAGTATATCCTTTGTTCTTTTAGCTGCTATGATTTGAATATAATTGCACTCTGCCATATTTTGTCCTGTATGACGAATTTCAGAGCTTATCTTCATGAGTTTTGGTAGAGAGGTAGACGACAAAATGTACTGATATATAGCGTGTCGAGTTCGTCCCACTCTGAATAATGGCCGCGAGATTCATGAACAACAAATCATCGAAGATCCTATAGAATGAACTAACCTCATTGTTAGCCCTATAGGGCGCTAATTACCCGGTCGTGCATAAAAATAGTATCAGACAACGAAATGTAATGACTGTACTTAAGAAATTCAATGACGAAATCAGATAACATATCCTTGCTGAACTTTTATCTTAATTTTGTTCTTTTAATTTTGGGTGATAATTGAATAAGTTAATATTTTTAAGAATGCAGACTATACTATGATTAATTGGTGAGTAAATAACTCTCAAGAATCGGTATAAACAAGGACTCACAAGGAAATTCTAACATTTTGTAGCACCAGTTCTGTGAAACCATATTAGCCAAATTATGATACTAATTTTCTGAGAAGTACATAATAAATATTCCAAAATCATGATAGTATTGAATTGAATCTATATCGTTTTGAAATCAGCATATTTCATCGATATTTCAAACAGCCAAATATGATGGTGGAGTCGTGACGTATTAGTCCCGAACTGTAGCTATCTCTCTCTGATACCTCGTCATTCTGCAGTGTTGCAGTGTGATTGGTCAGTTCAAGGACGATAGGTGTGTTGGGAATAACACGTCGCACCAGTCACACCAATGAATTGACAAAATTTCAAATTGCGCAGGAATTGTGTGCTTTGAAATGGACATATCCAAATTTATCATCTTCATCGTCTTAGCGTGAATGACAAAATTCAAAATTAATTCGCTGGTAGTTTTTCAGTATAGAGTTCACGATAATGTCATTTTGAAAAATCAGTGGTCTCCCCCATTGAAATATAGATAGATAGAATAGCAAGCACCGCAACCTATATAGGACAAGATTAGAATAATAAGATTAAAAACAGTAGAATAACAATAAGCAGCAATATGTATAACCATAAAATAGACATATGGAATACACAATATAGCAATTCTGTAAACTTTGACAATAGAGATCTTACTTATAGCTAAAATATTTAGGATGAATTCCTTGAACTGGATCTGGATGAGTGGAGCAGGTCCCTTACAAACTCTGACAGTTTATTGAACTCCAAAAATCCTTGGTCCTACGATAGGAAGTGCTATAGAAAAATGATGTACATCATTTTTGCCACCCGTGTTATAATTATGAAATTTTTTATTGAATGTAAGGTACTTCTGAAAGTAATCTGGTGCAAAATGACTTATTATTTTGTAAATGAATCATAGTGAAATAGTATAGTCTGTTTTCCACTGAACACCAACTAAGAGTCATTAACATATATTTTATAGGGAAGAAATGATTTGTTTTCAGTATTATTCTAATTCCACGGTTCTGGAGCTTCTGCAGCATAATATTCAATTGATTTAGATTAAACAGATATATAATGGATGAGCAATAATCAAAATGTGGCTGGATGATTGAATTATACACAGTGATTTTGGTCTGCGTTGACAAATGATGAGTGTCAACAGTTGAGATATCCGAGAGAAAAAACAAGTTTTTTCGAAATCATTTTATAAGTATCTCTATGTTGGGGTATTGGTTTACCCACCAAGTATAGACAATGAAAAAATGAGTATTTTTTATTATTGGTAACCAAACAAAATTCATTTCTCCAGATTTTTGGGATTATCTCTCTTTGACTCTAAAAATTGTTATAATAAAGTAATCATCAGCTGAACATAATATTCTCACTAAAATTTTACAACATAATATGGCGGAGTGTGCAATGATACTGACGTTGATTATTAGTATACTTATCAAATAGATATTATAATGAAATATAACATGTGATGTCCGTGTGGCCCATTCTTGTAATGAAATATACTGACTAATATACAGGGTGAGTCAGTTCTTTGTAGCAGGACCTTAACAGCAGAGAGAAGATTTTTTTTAAGATGTCAATTCTATGTGAACATATATATGCGTATGAGTTTCGTTTCCGGTATACATCGGGGTTTTGAAATTTAAGATTTATTTTGTTTTTCCATTTTTCTACTACTATTTCCAAAATAATGAATTGAAATTTGATACACCTATCACACTTTGAAAACGCAAATTTTTGGAATACCGAGCGTTTTTGATTACCTACAGGATGATGCATTTTTAGGGGTCGTACCCTCTCGAACTTTTTCGCATACAGCCTCTGTTTTCTATGAAACAATAATTCTGATTTTCCTTTCAATTCGGATAAGTACTTTTTGCTCCCTTTTGTTTTTTCGAACTGTATGGGTTTCACGATAAATACCAAAAATAATTTACTTGTAATGAAACTTTATTTTTCGAGATCATATTCTGTGTAGCAGGATTTTAACAGCTCAAAAAAGCATTTTTTTCAAGATGAACACCTCATGTATACACGTGGGGGCTTCATTTTCGATATACAGGGATTCAAAATTTGAGATTTTTCTTGTGTTTTTCAAGATTTCTCCTACCCTGTATATCGGAAACGAAGCTCCCACGCATATATATTTATAGGAAATTGTCATCTTGAAAAAATGTCTTCTTCGAACTGTTGAAGTCCTGCTACATAAAACTGACTCACCCTGTATGTTATATGCAACATGACACAAATAGTACTGATTTTGCCCTTCCGGTTATTTAAGCATATCATTATTTCCATAAGTTTCCTTAAAAAAAAGGAAGTCTTGACAGTATTAGACGGGTGTATACACTATTTTGAAATGTGACGGAAAGATGAAGTTCATCAGGGTTTAACATTTTGCATGACCAGTAAAAAGATCAAGACTTCTCTGAGTCAACTGCGATTCATGTACCTACTATGTAACAATTTTTCATGCCAATTATTCATGAATAAACAAATCATTTCAATATTTACTATGATACAATTGTTAACTGTTATTACGAGATTATGAAAAAAAAAAAACATTTATCATTGAACAATAGATGCGTTGTATCTACAGTGCATATATTCAATTAATTCGCTGTTATATGCTAGGCAAATACTTTAAAAAATGATTCAAAAATTCCATAATCCAATATTCTCAAATGTCGAGAGGTATTTAAATTATAAATATAAAAGTTATCAAATAGATTTATCGGCAAGTATTCAAGTATACACAAATTTCAAGAAGATCCAATACTTCCAGGGTATTCGAATATTTCCAGTGTATTAAAATAATATTATCTGAGTCAGTATTTTAATATTATCGAGCTAGTTGACTACAATATGTAGGTGACTACTACTCGTAGGAGCATTCAAATACTTTCGATAACTACACTATTTAAACATCTCTACAGAGTGTCCCAGCTAAAACCCAGCTCAAAAAAATTGAAAATCGCTCGGACAGGTCGATTTCAATTTCCTGCAACTATCATATTCCAAAGTTGAATTCTTGAAACGTAACGAGCATCAACTCTCGATATCAAATGGAGCACCCTGTATTTCATTGCAGTTCAATAAATTCTCCCTGAAAAGCTGCTCTCATTAGTGCATCACACTTGGTGTCTAGCGGAAATGATTATACAGAGATATAGGGTTAGTGAATCAAAAGTTAGAGACATGTGAGTCGTTCTGACCAATAATGAATAGTTTCGACACAAACTTTGAACACCCTCTGTAATCATTCCTGCTAGACACCAAGTGTGATAAATTGATAAAAGCAGCACTTCAGGGAGAATCAAAAACTGCAATGGAATACAGGGTGCTCCATTTGAAAATCGAGAGTTGATGCCCGTTACGCTTCAAAATTAAAATCAACCTGTCCGAGCAATTTTCATTTTTTTTAACGACATCGGAGATTTGGAGGTGACAAGTTTCAGCTGGGACACACTGTATATACTGTTGGTACAGCCGTTGATGGTGATGTACTCGAATTCTTCTGGACTATTTAAATACTTTAGTTGTATCCAAATACTTTACGAAAATATTCGCAAATACTAAGCTACAAATATAATCCTAAAAGTATTTGTGATTCGGTATATGAATATAATTATCGTACCTACCAGAAAGTATTTAAGTACCTTCCCGGTATTCAAATATTGGAAAATATTCCTGAATACAGATAATGCTCGAGCCTGGGAAGGTGTATACAGAGTGGCATTGAAATAAGTGCAAATATTTCAAACACTGAGAAAGCTCGACGTGTACTATGGAATGGGACTAATAAAAAAAATTTGGGACCAAATTAAATTTTGGGGTTAGACCCTTTTTTCCACCCAAAGTTCTACACTGTGGCAAATCTGAAGTCACCTCTGTTCGAATTTCCATGCGGTAGGCACAATCATGCGAAGTTCAATCATTTTAATTGTTTTAATGTGGCGTGCTTGATTTTGTTCTCGTATTCTGATCAATTTTTCGGATTAAATTTCTCGTTAACTAGCGGAATTAGGAAAAATCTGATATCATGGAAATATTCCTTGGACTGTATCATATTAATGTGTTGAATATGTGCATTTATTTCAAAAACACCTGTGGACAAGAAGTGTAAGACGAATATAGTGGGTTTATAGTATAATAATAATAAAAAAGTGACAGAAACTTTATACTTATCACAATATAATATACATTCGACAAGTTCGTTTTTCAGCTAAAAATCACGCCAACCTCCCGTTTCCAAAATTCCCCCCGCTATGTCCAGTCGCTCCCCCACTCTGTCCCCCACTGCTGGCGCCACCTCTACTCCCGCTGCCTCCCGATCTGCTCCCAGAGCTTCCTCTGTTAGCCCCATGCGGCCCAGCGTCCCTAGACGAGGACACCAAGGTGCTTTGGACGAGCAGCATTGCCACCAAGCATAACACCTGAGAAAATACTCCGGCTAGAAAAACTTCGAGCATTGGCACCGCCAGTAAACTTTCAGGCATTGTATCAAATTGAAATTAGAATCATTTTGAATAATTTTTACTACAAGTGAGGTTACAAATATTACGAAAAAGATATAAAGTAGGTTGAGTGTAAGTCAGTTGATAAATGAAACCAAAAAATTTTGAAAATGTATTGTTTTTTTTTCAATACGAAACACCAGGCGCGTATACAGATTTGTTCCATGGGGAAGGGGGTTAATTCGAGGAGGGAAGGAAAAAAGCACCGTCGTTCAAGGGCAAATTCCTTCAAGTTGATGGTTAGGTTCGTCAGCGGAGTATCATGAAGGTGAGAAAAATGATTTCAAATTGAGTTTGTCTTATTCACTAGAAAATTTAAATTTTCTGGTTCATCAAAATTATAGATTATGGGCAAGTTTACTTCGACCAAAAAAAACTTGAGTATTCGGTGAAGCAATTTTAATGCATACGTAAATCCATTTTCCACATTTTCGCTGTCATAATGACAAAATCACATCAGCGGCTAACTGGATTCAATATACAGTATGATGCAAATGTATTGAATAAATTCATTTCAAAACAAGACGACATCCGATAAAAATCCAAAAACTAGAGTTCAGAACTTTTTTAATTGATGTATTTTTCCCTTCGATATTCAACTCTCAGTAGCAGACCTCTGCAAGATTCATTTAATCAAATGATGATCCATTTTAATTTCAATCTTCTTATGCAAAATTTGGATTGTTGGATAGACGATCAGTAGACCTTTCAAACGAGGTGTCACATGAACACTCTTTTTTTTTTAAAAATCGCCCATTACGTCATCATTTCAACACCGGTGACGTAACATCTCTCATATGGATATCATGAGATGAGGCTTGGAAAATTTGAAGTCACGTGTTCTCGAAATATTTTCTAATGTCGCCCACTTCTGAAATAATGAATTTATTCCATACATTTGCATCATACTGCATGTAAATAAGTTCATGAATTGAATTGTCAGAATGGAAAGAGAACGCTGCAGTTTGGTCGATTTCCAATTTTTAAGAAGAAATAGATAAATAGAGATCAAATTGTCGAAAATTATGCATCCAATAAAGTTTGGGAAATATGTAATGAATTCCCACCCTGTATTATCACTCCTGATTGAAATTTTGGGATGATTTTATTTTCACTGCATTGGGCAAAAAAGTTCAGTTCTTGTACCGAATTGCATCATTTTATCACATGGCGTTTCGGAAATATTCAAATATTCATCTTCAGGAGTCCTCTTTCAGGAAACCGTAGCACTTAGGAGAAATGTATCGAACTTTTCTTCCTATTTTTGGTCGTTGTAGCCGCTTCTAAAGTTTGGCAAGCTAATTTCGGCCTTTTAGGGACTCCCTGTATACATCGCACACGGTTTACGACTCACTTCTTACTTCTTACTCGTGTATTGATCAACAGCTATCATTAGGTACATGTTGGTTGATTTGTTGCATAAAATACTTCTCCTATTAGGCATGGAATTTAACTTGTGATACACCTTTGAAATGAAAATTGCCTATCAGAAACAATTAAGGAAAATTTGCATCACCATTTGAAAAATGAAAATATTGCAAACAGTTCAACGGTCGCTAAAGTTGACTTGAACTTGACAAAACGAAATCGAATAGGTTATTTTATTAAAATTATTCCAGATTCTTTGAGCGTTTCTATAAAATAAAAATATGAATATTATTTCAATATACGTGTAGTAAGGACAAATCTGATGATTTACCCCAAAATATCACTGCATTTGAAGAAATTTCCTATCAGATAGCCGAAAAGAATAATTCACTAGCTTGTCAGTGGCAATTTGTATTGAAAAGGGTTTGGAGAAGCGAAATAAAGGTACCTATATGGAAAAAATATCAAATTTTCACTTAATTTTGGACGTTTCGGGAACGAATCTGCTGCCGTTTTCTACAAAACAATGGATATTTGTATAGCAAATTCGTACTCGTCTTGATACTTCTCATCAGTTATCAGTGAAAAGCTAGTGCATTTTTCTTTTAAGCTCTCCTGATAAGATAATTCTTTAAACGCAGTGATATTTTGAAGCAAATCATCTGATTTGTCCTTACTACACGTATATTGAAATAAAATCCATATTTTCATTTAATAGAAACGAGGAGAAACAATCACAAAAAGTCTGGAATAATGAACGTACCATCTCCTCGATTAACCTACAGACAGTATTAATTTTATTTACATTTTGAAGTTTCACAGAATGGTACAGTAATAACGTACCTATGTAAATGTAGAACCTAAATATAATAAATAGATATTTTCCACTTACCATTACAAATTTCATTTTAACGAAGAACTGCAATAAGATCAATTATATAAATTATTATGTAGTACTCAGCTATACCTAGGTATATATACAGTCATTTATATTCTCATTCTCGAGAAAAAAACAAAATAAAGGGGATTCTTTATTTCCCAACGAAGAATAAATATGCAGATTAGAAAGGTTAATATAAACAACAGTTGATCGTAAATAAAGAAAGTTTGAATAATGTTATGGAATGATAATACAATTCGAAGAATTGTTAGTCCCTCATTCGATTTATAAAAATAGTTATTTATACATCAACACGATTATTACCCGAGGCTTCAGCCAAGGGTTATAAGGTAGTAATAATATTTTTCTTCACTACCAAGGTGTACATTATACTTATTTCAACTTTTTCCAATTCTAATCAAAATCTAGTAGCCATGACCATGGCAGAATAATATGACAAGTCGTTATATTGATAAATACCTACCTATATTCAAGTGCCATTCCTGCAAATTGCTGCGAATCTCGCCTCAGAACAGTAAATTCGTGTTAATTATGACAGATGTGGCTTGGTGGAAGCTAGTAATTCACAAAATGACGGAAACTACATTGGTAGGTAGAGAAATGTATATTTTGTGCCACAAGTGGGGAAAGTTCAACTTTCCGCCCGAGTATGGAAGCAAACACACGACTATGTAAATGCCTATACTGATTTACCTGAAATCTTGATGCGGAATTTTGTAACATCCCCTATAGTACTTATTTGCAACATTGAATATTGTGATCTAAAGAGAGAATCCTCTTCTCTTCTATAGTTTCCACTTTCCGATATAGTATATTGTGTACCTATCTAGTGCGTGAAGTATACTTTTTTACGCGAGTGTGGAATCCGCACGAGTGTAAAAAAGTCTTCACGGACGTGGTGCACACTATACTTTTTCTACGACCTTTTACTTAGAGATTGAATTAAAGGAAAATTTGACTAATTTTCTTTATTACAATAATAATTATTATGACCAGTTATATTGCAATTTTGTAAATTGTCAAAATGTACATTTACTTTGTCTTTCTCTACAAAATTAGTGCTACCTAGACCAGCGACCGGTGTGTGAATTTGTATTGACTCTTATGGCACCGGTGCGTGAAATAAATCCAATAAGAGAAGCATGGCACTTCACACACCGATTCGTGAAATGAAGCTTTACACATTTTTATCGATGTGTGAAGTTAGTAATTCACATACGGGAGTAGAAAAAAGATTTTATTTTTGTATTTTTTCTGCATTCCATAAATTTTTCGTATGCCAATGCATATCTATTGACAACAAACCTAACTTCAGCAGCTTTTTGCAATAAATCTCTGGCGGAGTATAATCAAAATCGTCTCTACTCTGAGTATCCATATTATTAACAGGTATAGATATATCTTGTTAAAATAATATTTAGTGATGATTGCGATTTTTATCAAAGCAGTAATGAAAACTACCCAAAGACAGTTTTGACATCTATTTAAAGCTGAACAGCAGCCAACTGAGTTCTTGTCAATTTCTGTTGATTCTACATAAACAATTGGGTTATTTGTTTTACTAGGCAGAAAAGTAAGATTTAATGCCACGGCTGGTGTTTCATAGCCTAGGAGTAGCCGAGGCCAGGAAACCGAGCGTATAGTGATGTCATAAAACCAATTTTTTGTGTAATTTTTCCTCATTATTTTGTGTTCATCCAATGTCAGGGTCAATTTTGATTACGCAATTTCATTCAAATTTCTAGGAACGTTGCTTAGCAACAAACATGCTCTGCCTAGACAGAAAAAGTACACCTTTGCTGCATGTTATCATAGAAAGACCACTTTCAATGCCGTTTGGAGAAAAAAGATGTTGTGATGCTAGACAGAAGAGTAGTAGATTGACTGCCATGTGAAACGTATAATTTTTGTTCCAAATGTTATAAGACCTATTTTGTGTATTTTTTTATTGAAAACTCCATCATTTTGTGTTCACCCAATGTCAGTGTCAATTTTGATTACCAATTTCATTCAAACTATTTGGAACGTTGCATATAGCAACAAACATTTTCTGCCTAAGCAGAAAAATTACACTTTTGCTTTGCTTTGCATAGAAAAGCCACTTTCTATGCCGTTTGGAGAAAAATAAGTATTCTCACAGAATGAGCAACACATATGGTTTTGAAATTGAGTATAGGTATAAGCTATGAGAAAAATGCTAGTTTTTATAGCAGACATAGCAGTTATAGAAAAATATACTAATATACTTTACGCCTTTGGAAAGGAGTAAATTATGGTAGGTGGTGGTGGAAAAAAGCATATATTGCATAGCTATACTAATAAAAATATAAGTACCTACATGAACATAAATAAGATGATTCAAAAAAGATTTTCGGGTATTCCAGTTAGGTTTTCTAATAATGAAATGATAAACGCAGTGACAATTCAGGGCGAATCACCTAATTTGTCCAAGTTAAGAAAATCCCAAAATTTAAAGGAATAAAAAACGAAGTTTTATCAAAAAATAATATATTTTCGAACAAATCGAACACAAAAATCAGTCTTATCACTAGTATCCGTGCTGCTTGTATCCACCTCCTAAGTTACCATGGCTTCCACCATATCCTACTTCTTGATGTCCACCTCCCTGATGTCCTCCCAATCCGCCTCCTTGATGCCCACCTCCCAAACCACCTCCCTGATGTCCTCCCAGCCCTCCTCCTTGATGTCCACCTCCCAAACCACCTCCCTGATGTCCTCCCAATCCTCCTCCCTGATGTCCTCCCAATCCTCCTGCTTGATGCCCACCACCCAAACCACCTCCCTGATGTCCTCCCAATCCTCCTCCTTGATGCCCACCTCCCAAACCACCTCCCTGATGTCCTCCCAATCCCCCTCCTTGATGCCCACCTCCCAAACCACCACCCTGATGTCCTCCCAATCCTCCTCCTTGATGCCCACCTCCCAAACCACCTCCCTGATGTCCTCCCAATCCTCCTCCTTGATGCCCACCTCCCAAACCACCTCCCTGATGTCCTCCCAATCCTCCTGCTTGATGTCCACCTCCCAAACCACCTCCCTGATGTCCTCCCAATCCTCCTGCTTGATGTCCACCTCCCAAACCACCTCCCTGATGTCCTCCCAATCCTCCTCCTTGATGTCCTCCTCCTAGTCCATTACCTCCTCCATATCCACCGCCACTTCCATATCCTCCTCCTCCTCCATGTCCGTTTGCACTATATGGGAGTACTGCGGCGCAAGTTAGGCTCAAGGCCAAGATAGTGACCTGAAAAAAATAAGAATCTATAGAAAAAAATATGTAAGATATTCCTTTACAGGCACATAATGCAAGAGCCATTCGCCTGGTGGAAAGGGGGGCCCATAAAAATCTTGAAAAAAAAAATATTAATCTCTCAAGTTCCACATTTAGACAGAACTGAGCAAAAATATTTGTTTTTTCTGTGAAGGAAAAAAAGTTTGGCATTTTATCTCTATTGGCAGGTGTTGGGAAAAAAGTGAGTACTTTTTATCCGGATATATATCACATATATATACACTGTTGATGGCTTTTGTTGTGCTATAGTTCCGAAAAATTAGTCAATAATACCGTCTCCGAGAGGTCTTTTTATCTTCCAATCGACTTCGCGGTTACGTATATTAACTAAACAACCACTAAATTCGCAATTTTTTGAAATCAAATCACAGAATTAGACTGACAAAAGTGACATCAGATATTTGATTACTTAAAAAGAATGATAAAGATGCCTACAACGCAGGTGTCCCTACTGTTGAAAACTTAAAATTTCACGTCGATAATTTTCAGATTTCAAAATGATGTTATATCTTCTCAATATTGATTCGTCCTTTCTTCTGTCACACAAAAAAATAGTGTTTTATACACGGGAAAAATATTAGATTTTAGCTCACGGTTTTTTGTCTCCCTCCGCTACGCGTCGGGAGACAACACAACCTGAGGCTAAAATCTACTACTTTTTTCCCTTGTATAATAAATAACTATTATAGAAAAACAAGGTAAGAATGATTGTTAAAACAACTCATTATATTGGGATTATTTATTTTTTTCTTACAACAAAAAAACTCATTGTTCCTGTTATGGAACTAGGGTCCACGAAGTTGCACTTCATTTCCCCCCACTCTTTCCTGCACGTTGATTCTGATATTGATTTGTGTTTTTTTATCCCTTGGAGGGCCCGTGCGTACCTTAGGGAGGATACAGAGAGAAGGTAGGTATTGGATTTTTTTGAACTCTTGGAGATTATGAATTCTTGATGGGAATATTTCCTTTAGCACAGAATTCCAAAGCTTCGCCGTTCTATGGACAAACGAGATTTGGTAAAGAGATTGGACATATTTCGAGATTCACGACGAGAGGATGTGCTGACTAGGTGTCGAGTACGTCTGACTGAAGTTGCTAGTGATGGAATGATAGCAGAGCTTTCTGAATAACATTTACCGTGGAAGAATCTATATCTACTCCATTACGAAGACGGCTGTGCCATTACAGACAAAATGTCTGTCGCTATCGCTTGGTGTAGCCGTTCTTGACTCAAACAAATATTTCATCAAAGGGGAAGGAAACCCCTTGTATTGTACGAAAACGATTACTGAATATGACGACTTTCGAGCAAGAAAAGTTCTCCATAGATAGAGCACTATGTACAGGGTGGGCAAAAGTGGACACTTTCGAAGGGAACCAGATGGAAGAAAACTGATGTCGGTGCCTCATGAAACACTCAACGGTGAAATCCGCATATCGATATCTGTCTTCGTTTCGGAGTTACAAGATGTTTTTCGAAAATGGGCATGCATTTTTGAAAAGTACCTACATATATTTTTTTTGGCAAAATTTGTCAGTTCCTATGATAATAACTGCAAGGCATTGATTTTGTGATAAAAATTGTTCTGCACTGAAATCGGCATTCATATATCTATAGTTCAAGAATATAACAGTGTGTGCAATTTCAACCTGCAACACCCCTCAAATTTGGAACCCATCGACCGATTTATAAAAACAAAAATTCCATTATATACTCAACGAGCTCTATTCGAGAATGTGAACAAATTTGAAATATTCAGATTCTCAAGGCCTACTTTTGTTTGTTGAAGGGATCAAAATTTCAAAAACGACTATATCAGACAATTTTTTGTCGAAACTGTGACTAGCCTATTCGATCCAGGCATAGCTGAAATACCCCCATACGAAATTTGAACGCAAAATGTCATACAGGGTGTTAGTTATTCAGTGGCAAATTTTGATATTTTGATTCACCCTGTGTCAAAATCTAAGAAGTTGATATAACCGATGAAGTAGTCATTCAATGGAGGAACACATCTGATACTAAGATACGAAGTTTCATCATTGTGACTTCTACAGAAAGATCTCTCTTGGTCAACCAAAAATTAATTAAATTGAAGTTTACAAAGTTTTCATTATTGCTCATATATTTTTTTCCTGGAAATATAAGTAATGGTAACTTATACGAGGAGATATTCTCTATACATAGCAATTTTTAATGTCATCTCAAATTTTCCTTCCATTCCGCCAAAATCAGTATATTATTATACAGTATCTTTCAAAAGTATCGGAACGGTCTCATATTTCAGGAACGGCTTGAGAAAAATTCACAAAATTTTCTACAGAGTGATTATTGATGATGCTCGATTCAATGGTGGCATCGGCAATGTTGCCAAGTTCACAGTTTTTCAGATATTAGGAGTAACTTTATTTTTTCAAATGGAATACCCCATTTATTTTTATTGCAATTAGTTGAGCGCCTCCTGATCACTCGAGTCCCTGAATATCAGATTCGTAATTAACGTGATTTTCGAAATATGACAACATAGCATTTTCGTTAAAAAGTTCTGGAACGGTCCCATATTTCAGAAACGGCTCAGAGAAAATTTATGAACACTTCGACAGGATGGCTGTTGATGATGCCCGATTCAATGGTGATATCGGCAATGTTGCCAAATCAACAGTTTTTCAGATATTGGAAATATTAGACGGTTCCCAGACTTTTGAACGAAAATGCCATGTTGTCATTCTTCATCAATCGGGACGATTTCCAGAGTTACTGTGCGATGACTGTGATGAGTGTGATGAAATGTGTGAAAAAAGGTTTACTTGAGTTTTCAAAATGGTGTGAACCTAAACCGAGACCTAAACTTTAATTTTATTGATTTTTGGTTGACCTAGAGAGATCTTCCTGTAGAAGTTACAACGATGAAACTTCGTCTTCAAGTATTCGATGTGTTCCTCCATTGAATGACTACTTCAGCAGTTATATCAATTTCTCAGATTTTGATACGGGGTGAATAGAAAAATCAAAAATATCAAAAATTGCCATCGAATAACTAACACCCTATATGATATTTTGCGTTCTAATTTCGTATGGGGGTATTTTAGCTATGCCTGAATTGGATGGGCTAGTCACTGTTTCGACAAAAAATTGCCTATAATTTTGAAATTTTGACCCATTCAACAATCAAAAGTAGGCCTTGGAAATCTGAACATTTTAGATTTGTCCACATTTCCGAATAGATCTCGTTGGGTACTATATTATGATATTTTTGTTTTTGAAAATCGGTCGACGTGTTCCAAATCAGGAGGGTGTTGCGGGTTGAAATCGCACACACTGTATATAACTTGTTCTTTCTTGAAAGAAAAGTTCTTTTTTGCAACTAGGTGTACAGTGAGTGATTTCAGTGCCTGAGGATCAATTTTCATGATAAACACAATGCTTTGAAAATGTTCTCATGAAAACAAAGAATTTTTGACAAAAAAAGAGTTCTAGCCACTTTTCAAAAATTCACGCTTTTAAAAAACACCATGTTACTCTGAAATAAAGATAGATATCGATATGCGGTTTTCACCTTAGAGTTTGTCATGTGGAAACAGGCACCGACATCGCTTTTCTTTAATCTTGTAAGGGAATAGGACTTTCCCTTTAAAAGTGCCTAATTTGGCCCACCCTGTACATATATTCATTCGAATCCTGCTCTGCTGGGGTGGAATGACATGTAGTTTATAAAATCAGTCAAACCACCCAAAGCATTCATACATTCTTTATATCTTTGTTTCCCAAAATCCTGATTCTTGAAAACGTTGAACAAGGTTAATCCGATCGGTTGAAAATATTACATGTCTACAATATTTCTACTTACAACTTTTGCTATGAACATTTTAAACTATCACCAAAGACTCTGGAACAATCAATAAAATTTCCATCGTTGGATTATTATTTATACAAATATGTTATCGAATAATATTGAGATAAATCTTGCATGTGGTCAATATTATTATTTTTATGAAAACACTCACTAATGAGAATGAGGTCAAAAATTATAATTACGTCAATATGTTTCTCTTGGAAACAATAAATCTAGCGTATGTGAAGCTATTGGGAGAGTTGAAAAAAAAATGGAATCAAATAATAACTCAATATAACTGAATATACCTATACCAGTCTGACTAAACTTTTTTTTATCTCTTGGGGCGCAAGATCATGCGCGTACCTATAGGGAGGATAGGGAGATGAGGTAGTTGTTGGAGTTTTTTTTTGAACTTTTAGAGGTCTATAAGTATTTGAGAGTACTTCCATTGGCAAAGAATTCCAAAGCTTTGCCGTTCTATATAGACGAACGAGTTTTGGTAATCTGTTGTTCGACATATTTCAAGGTTGACAATGAGAGGATGTGCTGCTATAGTGTTGGAATGACAACAGAGATTTCTGAGGAACATCTTCCATGGAAGTATCTATACAATTATAATGGAGTCAAAGTGAGTGTGGCTTCACCCAACAGGCGGGTGGCTCTCATTCTCTGGATGGAATCTATAAGAGCATCAGCGTATGTTTTGGGGCTGAACCCCATAATATATGAGAACATCAGTATTTTCAAACTGGCCGTATCTGTACCTATATGCTTTGTTAAATCATGAAAAGCTACACTGAGGAAAATTTGGCTATTAGAGTGTTTGTTTGCTGAGATATTTCTTGCTACCATTACAAGAAATCCAATTATCATTACACATTCTCGAATAGAAGCAGCACATTGACATCCCATGATAACGATTTTGCTGAAAATGAATTTGCTGCCACTGAAAGGTACCTATACAGCTATAGCTATCAGGCGAATACCTGTGGCTGCCTGGTTCGTTAGCAATGATAGAACTGCCGGCTTGCTACGAAAATAATATTAGATGAACCTCTACTTGTGGTTATTCAACGCCTACTGATCGATATTCGATATTCCGCTGATTTTCCCCTCTATAATAAGCATTTGTCAGACATCTTGCGTCCGAAAGACATGTCCAATCATACCCTGTTGGGCTTTCCTGGAAACAATTGAATATAACTACGTTAAGAAGATCATCGAACTATCCATAAATATGCTCACCTATCTATTTTAGGGAAGTTTTCTACCTATGATTATGACATTGCTTTACTCCCATTATTAGATGCACTCACTAGTGGTAGCAAAGTCAGATACCTACTACAGAAACATTGTCTAATAACCATAAGCAGATGCACTCGCTAGTGGCAGCAAGATTCGATTCGTAATATTATCTCTTCAAAAATAATGTAAACCCAGTTTTTGGGGGGGGGGGGGGGGCGGGGTTGGAGAAGGGTCCTCACTTTTATTTGCCGAAATAGGGTGCATTTGTGGACACATGTTCATATGAAGAAAAAGTCTCATTTTGATCCCAACAATACGTCTTTGAAATATTTACCACCATGCATAATAAAGTATATTATTCCACAGTGTATACTTACCTGAATTCAATAATTATTTCCATCAACGTCACGTGCTTTGGGTGGATCAATGCATTTTTTTAAATCTTTTGGAGCATACGAAATGGTACCTATCCCTATTTATTTTCTGGGGCGGGAGAAAAGTTTGACATTTCATATCCGTTATTGGCAGGTAATAAAATGTCACTTTTCATAATTTATTCTTTTCCCACAGGGAAGGAGTGAGTTCTTTTATATATATCACATATACATATACAGGGTGTCCCGTAATTAGCCTGCCAAACTCCACCAGGGTCTTTTTCGACCAAAAATAGGAAGAAAAGTTCCAATAAACATGAGTCAAGAAAATTTCTACTAAGGGTCTACGGTCCCCTGAAAGGAGGCTCCTGAAGATGATATTTCTTGAATATTTCCGAAACGCTACATGATGAATTGATGTTATTTCGTACAAGAACTAAACTTTCCATGCCCAATGCATGAACATAAAATTATTCCAAAGTTTCATTCAAGAATGTATAATACAGGGTGGGACTACATTAAATATTAATCAAACTTTTTCGAATGCATATTTTTTGACAATTTGATGATTTCCGAGTGAAATCGATTTAAAAATATTGATGAACTCACATCTTATGCATAAAGTTGCCAATTTTCAAATCATAGTGGCTACAATCTCATGGAAGTGCGAAAAATTAAAAAATGATGATAAAAAACTACTTCAATATTTCTGCTTTTTTTTTTCATTCCCACTATATGCCTCATTGCAATGTTATGCATAATATCTAAGATGTAATAATATTTTTAAATTGCTTTTATTCGATAATAATACATCTGATCGTCACGGAACAAGAGTACCCTTTTTCTGTAAAGAGGTGTGAAATTTCATAATCCGAGAATAAATTGTCGAAAAATATGCATTCAAAAAATGTTGAGCAATATTTGATGTAGTTCCACCCTGTATCATGCACTCCTGTTCAAAATTTTCAAATGATTTTATTTTTACTGCAGCATTGGACATGGAAAGTTTAGTGCTTGTACAAAATGCATCTCTTTATCACATATGGAGTTTTGGAAATACCTACTCAAGAAATATCATCTTCAGGACCCCCCTTTCAGGGGGCCGTAATTTCCTTAGGAGACATTTCTCAAATGATGTTCATTGACAGTATTCATTTTTTTTTGTCGAAGAAGCCGCTGGTGAAGTTTGGCAGGCTAATTCGGGACACCCTGTATATAGGTATACACTGTTGATAGCTTTTGTTGTGCTATGGTTTCGAAAAATAAGCCAGTAACACCGTCTCCGAGAAAGAACTGCAAGTCCTATTATCTTCCATTCGACTGAATTCTCAATTTTTAAAATCAATTCACGGAATTAGACTGATACGATAGATATTCGATTCGGTACTTCAAAAGAATGATGAAAATGCCAGCAAAAAGAAGATAACAGCTTCAAATTTCACGATAATTTTCCGATTCTAATTTAATGGCAACTTATGAACATCTCAATCGAATGTAATATATATCTTCTCAATACTGCATGATTCGTCCTTTTTCCTATCGCAGAAAAAAATAGTGTATTATACAACGATTATGCACGAGAAAAATATTAGATTTCAGCTCACGGTGTTCCCCCTTGTAAAATAAATAACTATATCCCCAGCAAACACAGTTACATCACAGCAGAGATATCGCAGCGATGTAACGATCGGTTGAGACCAGCGATATCACATTCTATAGCTATCCCATAGGAGACATTTTTAGACTCATGTTTATAGAAACGTTTCCTTCTATTTTTTTGTTGTGGTAGTCGCTGGTGAAGTTTGGCAGGTTAATTTCGGGACACCCTGTATATATCATGAGAGCAAAGGTTCATTATTTCCTTCCATATGTGTGTTCAATATGCCCTCCGCTATACCGCCGTGCATCAAACTTCTCGACACGCGGGAGGAAATGGATATATAATTGATATATAGATAGGTATTGAATTATAAAGTTAGCGAAGCTATAATGGAAAAAAACAGTAATCAATATGATGGCAATCACTAAACGGAACGCCATCAACAAACCGAATTTCAAAGTAAAATGTTCGACCAAATGAGGTTAGGAAAAATTCAAAATTTAATTTTCCCTTGAACCATGTATCTACAACATTTATATAATGCATAATATGTTGGGTTAACTCTTCATATTTTGGTGTTTACTATTTGTAGTTTAGAGATTTCCCATTCTTATTGAATCACCCTGTATACCTAGAACGCCAAATACACAAATGACATCAATCACGAGCCAGTGTTGCCAGCCAGTCGATTTTTTCGTACTAGATCGCGATGACGCGAATAAAGTTATGACGGTTGCGACGACCAAGGTTAGTAGAAGCAATGACGGCTAAATATCAAGATGATATCAAGTAAGCTGCCCTGTGAGCTGCTTACTTGATATTTAGCCGTCATCAGTAGAAGAGATGCGAACAATTTGGCAATTGTCAAAGATTGTATCATTTGAGAATTGTTTGAGAAGCGTCTGAAACTATGAATAATACAAGTAAAGCGATAGGTTAATGGTCTGTGTATCTGACTTCCATGGTGGTGACTGTGGTTCAATCGCTGCGAGATGTCATTTTTTTTTCAATTTCTTTCACTCAATTGATTTTTCAATTCGAGAAAATGGTACATTTAAGACAAGTTAGGTTGAAAGTTATCCACTTTTCCATGCAATAGCGTATTTTCCTTCCTTATAATAAATACCTTATAAATCTTTTATAAACACGAATAACCGTCTGATAACCTGCCAGTGTACCAGTACTGGCAGTGGCAGTACTGCCAAAATCGTTCCGAAATGAGATGAAAGGTCTGTTCGTTTGTGTTGCTGAACTTCATAAAGTTGATCGTGTTCAAATAGTTGTTTGTGTTCATGGCATGATGTGAACAGAGAAAGTTACATAAAAAAACTCAAGTTCGGCAGGCAGAGCAAACACAAACGAACTGGCTTATAAATTCAAAGCTACTGCTGTGACTACTGCTACTGTTCATTGTTCATTATTTACTCAAATTGCTTAATGTGGCGAGTAATGTCAGCAAAAGCAATATCGGAACATGACCACTGTCCAAATATAATAAAAAAATAAGAAGAAAAATGACGTATAGTAATTGACATATGACGTATTGACATATGACCTTTAAATTGAATTTGAGTTTTGACAATTTGACAATTTTTTCATATTGTTATTATACAAAAATGTGAAACGTCAGTTCTACTTGTAGTTGTTTCTTAATTATTTTTGTGAAATTTTTGATTACAGATACAGAATAATATGGGCTAATTGAGGCTTATTCAATTTCTGTATCAAAAACATAAGATATAGGTGAGTCATTTTCCAGCATCAGGAAGTTTTTTGCTCAATACATTTTTATGTATATGCTCCTGTGTTGAATAAATAAACATGACAATCTACATTTTCTAAAATTTATTATAATAAACTGTTAACCTTAATTTTGTTATCTCTGTAGTTGTCAAATCGGTGACAAATTCTATTATTTGCCTTGGTATTCCATTAGTAATAATTATTATAATTTATTATGGCGTTTTTTACTAAGTACATCAAGGAAAATTGATTTTCCATAAATTCACCAGACATCAGTATTAGAATGAAATTCATACAATACTCAGGTAGCCTGACATTACATCATTTCTACTTGTTGATATAGTACCTATGTACCTATTATAGGGTGAGTGAATCACTATCTTTGTTATAATTTGGTTAGGTATAATAATTCATTTCATTATTACAGATTGTTTGGGATTTCCTCTCCTTGTTTCTATAAAATAAAAAAATATGAAAAATGAGTATTATTTCAATATACCTGTAGTGTGTACAAATCCCAGTACAAATCAGATGATTTGCCCCAAAATGTTTCTATAAGAGAGCCTAATTCATGTAATGATACTGTGGCCTAATAGAAAAATGCATTTCCTCATCAGTGATAGGTACTTTGTTTTGAAAAATGTTTGGAATAATGAATATACCACTTCCTTGATTTTATCCTACAGACAGTATTTACATAGGTATATATCATGACATGAAAATACTTGAAATATCAAAAGATGCATTAGAACTGAGATGTGTCAAACCAAAGAACACTTTATTTCTATAAAAATATTGAATCAAAGATAAGAAGACTTTTCCCATGTAATATAATATCATATTATTTATTTTTTGCAGCATCATGGTACATTCTTGTACTCATATTGGCAATGTTGAAAACATTCCATTATCCACTCTAGTAAATTCCAAAGAGGTAGGTTCACATGCACCATTTAATTTCAGGATGATTTATGATATTCTTTGCTTTTAGCTTGTATGTGCTGATTGTGACTGTAGGGGACCTAATCTATGGATATGCTTATTCAACAACTGTCTCAGAATTGGGTGTGCCGAAAAATCTAATGATCATAGCACACTTCACAATGTGGTAAGTTTTCTCAGTTTTCACATTCAAATTAAGAGTATCAGGTGGTTAGGTAATATAGATACAATAACCAGATACCAAGTAGTAATGATTTTGGTTTTACAAAATCAAGTCATTTCTTAGAGGAATTGAAAATCACAAGACAGAATATTACTACAAAGAAAAAATTATGATATTTTTCAGAAAAAATGACCTAATAATGCAAGGTTGTTCTGGGAAAAAATTCTCCATAAGTTCATTTATCTACTTCTATTTATTGTTCATGTCAATAATGTTGTCAAGATAATGAAAGTATTTTTATAGTTATTGTTTGCCTTGCATAACCTATATTATATGTGGTAGACTAGGTAGACAATTTGCAGCTCCCTACAATTTTCATTGAAGATAACTTGATGTTACTAGTAAGTACAAGTTGATAATTTGTTTAATAGGTCTACTTTAATTCTACTGTACCCACATGGTCTCCACAAGAGGCAAGACAATTGTGTCTTTTTGATATAGAAAATACACCAAAATCCACTGTTTTATAAGATGCAATGTTGATTGAAGTACTGAATCATACAATGAAAAATCAATAATTAATATACCTGTTTGTCTGCTTATGCCAAACATACTCACAATTTTCAAATGGAAAATATTGTATTTCTCTTTGTAGGGACCAGTTTTAAAACACTTATTTCATTGGATAGGGTTTCAGATGATGAGTTCACTTTTGACTTCCTCAAAAAACTATACAGGGAAAGAAGAGTGGAGGCATTTACACTTGTTCCTTAAGAATCCCTTAACTTAACTTCCCCTGTTATGAACATATTTGTCAATTGATTCTTGAGGATAATAAATATGATGATGAAATAAACAAATCTGATGACATTAATTCAATTTGATGAAGCTCCACCTCTAGATGCATATATACCCTATATATAATATGTAATTATCAATCTAAATTTCAGTTTACTTATGAAATATTTCTGATTAAATTTTGATGTTTCTGACGACCAATAAATACTTTCAATTTCAGTCATTCATGTATACATCTTTATATCTTGTATTGGGTATCTATCTAGAATAATTTGACGTTGCTGTTGAGTTTTATTAATTCTAACATAATGTCATCAATCTGCATGAAAATCATCAAAATGAAATAAAAACCAATTATCAAATAGGTACCTTACAAGAGCTCCACAAATTAGAAAATAAGTCTACATTATATAACAAGTTTTCCTAGATGATATTACTACAGTGAATGTATGTTACCTCCTGAGTAACTATCAAAAATATCAAAATTCTGACCTATTCTACTGAATCTAAATGTTATTGAATTGAAATTATTTTTTTTTTCTATTTCAGAATCAACCTTCACATTGTGTTCATATGAACCTGTCCACTAGAAGGATATGGTGTTATGAATGTAAGAAAGAAGTTTTTATGGAAGCTCCCACCTATAATGACAGTGACCAGGAGGCAGAAACCTGTACTGCAAGGTCCCATGATTCAGGACATGGAAGTTATAGTACTCTGAGAACCAACACACCTGAAAGGGGTTAGTACCAAACTATAACTATATATTTGATAATTGCCCAACAATTTGATTGCTAGAATAAAAGTGGGGTGATACAAGATAGAAACATGTGATTTTTTTAATAAAATTCCAAATTCCTATAGGTTTCTTTTTTTGTGACAAGCTGGACAAAATGTGAATGATATGATTTTTGTACACCATTTACCCTTTAATCTGGTAATAAACTTGATTTGATTTGATTTGAAATTGATACAATTTGGTAGGACAAATATTAATGGTACTGCTACTGAGTTGACATTGAATTTCATTATAATTTTTTTATATATATTCCAGCCTTCATAAGATAGAAATCCAGAATTTCCTACTCACACTTTTTCTAGAATTGAAAGTTCTTAAGATAGACAACATATATCAAACAATTTATGTGTGCCAATGGGTCTAGTTACCTTGTTGGATTTGACTTTTTGTGATTTAAATACAAGAACGCCATATCCATCCAGAAACTCTAGTCATTACAAACTAATAGGCTCAAGCAAAGTTCCTCAATGGATTCCATAGCTAGCATCACCATAAAAGTTGCCCAGTAATAAACCAAGCTAACTAATATCTAGTGAAAATACTATGGACAGTCAAAAACACACTTGTTTTTGTTTTCTTATAAACCAGATTGTGTAATAATAATTTGTAATAATATGACATTAGCATTAGATTGATTCATCAGGATTTGGGGTCCATTAAAATGGCAAATATACAAAAAACGTTCAGTTTTATTGTATAATCCTCCATATAAATGTATAATTGTGATTAGAACCGAATTTTGTCGCTGTTGATTGAACCTACAATGTGCTAGAAACTGACCACCTTAACTTATGGACCAACGTAGATTTGCCTCAAATGCATATGTGACCATGTGTTGTCCCTATACAGCCTACTGAATTAGTAATTGTGTCAACTATAAACTTGTAGATTTGACAATGGGGGTTAATCCTGTATTGGGGACACATACTACATCAAAGAATATTGAAATAGCTCCATAGTTCACAGTTGGTTTGATTGGAAAATTGAAAAATATTTATTTGATACTTCCATAAAAAAAAACAGCTGGCAACACAGGAAAATGGGTTATGACGTCGGTTCTATAGATAGACGAGTTTGCCATCAAATGCAATGTTTGAACGTTCTATCAAATTGAAGGGTATTCAAAAGCTGTTTTCTGAAGTACAGCATATTTTAACAAAAAATTTATATGTTTATGTTGAATTACTAATTGATATATCGAAGACTGGAACCTTTGGCACGATAATACACTACACTGTTTTACCACTAACCAAACCGATTTATTAACGCCTCGACACGTGTTTCGCTAACTATGTTAGCATCTTCAGAAGAAGTTTTAATCTTCTCCTGAAGATGCTAACATAGTTAGCGAAACACGTGTCGAGGCGTTAATAAATCGGTTTGGTTAGTGGTAAAACAGTGTAGTGTACTAATTGATATCGTAGGAAGAGTCCAAATGACAGGAAAAGAATAAGTATATTTATCAGTTCTGCCAACTCTGACCTCATTATTCAGTGGCGAGATTTGGTGGACAATAAATGATAGTCATTTTTCCTCCTACATGACCAGACAAACCAGGTTAACTTTATGATAACGTCACGGTAACTTTATTATGACGTAATGGTCCACTTGTGAAGCTTGACAGATGTCAGTTTATCAGCTGTTTTGTTTATTGCTCCATGTTAGTATCATTACTAATATATTGAATGAGAAATAATTCATCATCTGTGTAACAAAAATATTATATCATAGATAGGAAATTCAAATTCAAGAAAATTGGAATTATTCGCTAATGTCAATATTTACAATGAATCAAATATTTATTTTCATCAATAATATGAAATTGGTCTCACGAGTAAATATACCATGTATGCAGATGATACAGTACTTTTATATGAAGGCAAGAATCCTTCAAATTTAGAAAATATGATAAATGAAGACTTGAAAATATTTGAAAAATGGCTCCACTCTAACCTTTTATCGATAAATACTAACAAAACAGAATATATGATTTTTCACCAAAAAAATTAACAAAAAATTTACCTCAACCTTAAAATGAAAAATGAACTCTTAAAACAAACTGACCAGATAAAATATCTTGGAATTTGGTCTGATGACAGGTTGAAGTGGGACAAACATATTGATGTTCTGACAAAAAAAAATATCTCCAATTATTGGTGCATTGAGAAGATGCCCCAAACTTGATATTGAAATTGCAAACATGATTCTCTACTCTCATATACTGAGTCGTATCAACTATTCAATAAATGTTTGGGGAACTTGTTCAAAGAACAATTTCAATAAAATAGCAACATTATACAGGGTGAGTCATGGGGAACTGTACATGCTCCTACTACGAATAGAGGCACCTGAGGGGAATACCAAATGACCATCAGAAAGTGTCTCCGCCTCTTCTAAAATAATCTATAGGGTGATTTATGGGATATGGCCAAAACTTCTTTCAATCATAACTTTTCAGCAGTTCTTCCGGTTCCGTTCATTTTTTCATGGATTATTATGCTGTCACTCAGCAATCAACTGACGTATTCAGAATCGTAAATATCCAGGACCGGTCTTGAGAAATTCTGCCAATTTGGTTCATATCAAAAATTTTACCCTGTATAAGGTTTTAATAAACTGTGTTATGGAATTTTCAAAGTTGATGAACAGTTTTTACAAATATTATTCTTTGTTTGTCAATTTACAGTTGTTGATATATTTTGTATAATGATATGTTTACCTATAGGTATATAATTATGTACTTCCTTATACCAGAGCCTATTCTGTCTGGAAGTTATTTGTTCAATAAATAAATAAATAAATAAATAATATGAATCCATAATTATCTCTAAGAAGTATAATTATTTTTTCCTATCAATTATATAACCTCCGATTATAACAACAACAAGAACCCAATCCGATGCCCAATCAGAAGCCTCAACCACTCCGTGAACTACCTCAGTGAGCTGGTTTGTGTGGTTGGTTAACTATTACGTCATAGTTTGGAATACACTTCGAGGATAATTTACTGGTTAACTTATTGTTAACCCGGTTTGTGTGGTTAACTTCTAGGATAAATGGCTAATGTTAGCCCCACTATGGATAACCCTCATTCAATTCGTATGGGTTGCGTGCAAGAACTGTCAGATGACCGACACTGGAGGCAAAATATTGAAACACAAACGTCACTTTACTTATTTGTTTACAAGTGATTGAAATAGTTTTTCACAATTATTTTGGCATACGAATCGTATTTTTCCGCTATTCATCAATTCGCTCATGCCATCACATTATGCTGTTGTGAAATGCACAAAAACTGCAGCGGAAGACGAAGTAATCCGGTTGGTACAATATGATTCAAAAGTAAGTACCTACTATAGTCACTCACATATAGTTTTCATTTTTGAAATTTGGTAAGTTCTCTGATTTCTCATCGGAATTCTTTCTGCGATAGAAGCTAATAGAAATACATCTGAAATTTCTACAATAATGCCAGAAAATTGGATTCATGCAATCAATCGGGAGGACTGGTCTGACACTCTGACATGCTGACGATCGTGTGTGTTGTAGACATTTTCAATCTATTAGCAGTATTAGCTTGTATTGCAGAAGTGACAGAAGGCAGAAGGAATTTTAATAAGGAATGACAACATTTCATAATGATAACTATGTGAGATTACTATTTACCTGAAAAATCATATTCTTTAGTCTCTTGCTGCATTTTTTGTGCATTGTACAACAGCACAATGCGAAGGCATGCTCGAATTAATGGATAGCGCAAAAACACGATTCGTATGCCAAAATATTGTGAAAAACTAGTTCAATCCTTTGATTCCTCTGTAACAAAGTAAAAAAGTGAGGTTGTGTTTCAATAATTCACAGAAGAATGAGGTTGTGTCTCAATATTTTGCCTCCAGGGTCGGTCATCGTGCACGCGACCTATATGAATAAAAAGGACGGACTTATGTGTGTTGGAGTGAAATAAAAGATCAAATTCGCATACGATTGAATTCGATAATATAGTAGGTAGGCACATTTGAATGAGTTAACGCGTTTGTGTATCCTTGCCTTCAGTGTACATGTCAGAGAGGAGTGTAGGCCTGACCGTAGGCACTTCGGGTGACGCTTCTGACTCCAGCGATGCCGAAGACTACGATTACCACACGACGGAGCGGCCTCGTGGACTGGTGGGTCTGCAGAACATAGGCAACACGTGCTACATGAACGCCGCTCTACAGGTATCATCATCTCTATTATTTTATTTGAGAAGTGATATTATTTTATTGTATGCATACACTTCTGGGGGTATCTAATATAGAGAAACCTGCTTCTCTGTAGCTTGAGCGGCAAACATGCTTGGATATGTTTATGGATGGCAAGGCATGGCAGTGTTGACTAGTTTTTCTTCTATCAGTTCTGAAAACAATTAAAAAAATCTGTATTTTCAATACAATTAACAATATTTTTAATGAAAATGTAGAACAGAAGAAGAGCATAATGAGTCCGTTGAGGTACACCCGATACACGGGTATATTTGATTGTTATCATTCCCTACCTTAACTTACTGAGTAGGACCAGTAGAAAAATGTTCAAATCAGGATAGAAATTGATCAGGGAAACAAAATTTATTCATTTTATAAATCAAAATTCAGCGACATTTCTGAAAGTTTCATATGAAATGTTGACATTTTAATTTCAAAACTCCCAGTGTCTAGCTCACTAACATAATTCAATTATGCAGGCGCTCAGCAATACGGAGCCGTTGACGAAGTTCTTTCTCGATTGCGGTTACATCGTGCAGATGCTTTCCGAGGGCAAGAAACCCGGCCTGAGCAGGACGTATCAGACTCTGATGAAGGACGTGTGGGTGAAAAAAGTCAATCAGGGTTATGTGACACCGTCGGGTGAGTGGCTTGATGGGGTTTCATATCATTGCATAGAGAATGGTGGTCTGAAGGTAAAAAAACAATTTGGCCACCGATATTAAACCTTGAATGAAAGATATTTGATCAAAATGGAATTTCAACAGAACATCAGAGAACATAATCTAATCATCCGTCATTTAGTGAAATGAAGGAATGTACTGTGGGAACGTAAAATATCATATTGTATTTCATAGGATTGGTAATTCATCAAAACCGTATTTTATCAGAAAGGCAAGTCATCAGAATCATATTTTGTTGCGACATTTTTATGGCTGAATTGTAGTTTGTTATCATAACCGTAAATTCTCATGACGGTAAATAATTAAATCTGTAATTCGTTGAAATTGTATCTTGTCCGAACTGTATTCTGTCAGGACAGTAACATATAATAGTATTCTAATTGAACAGTTTCTAAATCATCTCAGAACTGTATTTCATTGGAACTGTATAGTATCAGAACGGTATTTCATCAAAATGCTACTCCATTTTTTTATCGCTTGGAGTGCACAAAAGGAAATCCCATAATGTTCAAAGAACATCGTGAAGAATTACAATATATCAGCAATGGTTCCGATGGAAAACGGTTCTGATGGATTACTGTTTGGATGAATTACTGTCACTGTAAAATACGGTTCCGATGAATAAGAAAATTTCCATTTGAGGTTTTTCTCTCTCACTGTGAAGTTTGCTTAAAATCAATATTTTCGTATTTTATTCGTGAGATCAATAGTATCTATAATAATTCACTTTCCTTATATTTATATTACAAAATATTAATCATAACTTATAAGTCATGTTTTTTGCAAATAAATTCGTTTCTTTATAAAATGGATCTATTTCATAGCATAATACTTTGAGCCCGCCCACACCACACAAAATACCAGGCACTTCTTCTATTTTTTTCATTCATTCTCTATCCGTTAGCTATTCGCTAGATATTCGTTTTCAGCTTTATTCAGACTAGATCCAGGATGTACGTCACAGTTTGCGTCCCCAAAAATTTGAAATTGTTTCGATCGCCATTCTGTACAGCGTGGATATAAAACTGAAGAGTTCCGAACTCATTTTATGTTAATTCATCTGAAGGAAACTTGCCATGTCCCGATGAAATACAGTTCTGATGAAATAAGGTTCTGATAGAATGCGATTCCGATGGATCACTGTTCTGATAGAATACCGTTTTGATTAAATACAGTTCTGATAAATTACTTTAGCTATGAAATACGGTTCCGACATATTGGTGTCTCGATAGAATACAGTTTCTATGAAATACGACTTTGATCATATATTCGGAGATCATATACGATTCCGATATTTTACGGTTGCGACCATTTGCGTTTCCGATGAACGAGTGTCACGATCTAAATACCGTTCCGCAGGAATCCTGTACGGCATCCGCAGCGTGCACGCGATGTTCCGCGGCTACCATCAGCACGACGCGCAGGAGTTCCTGCGCAACTTCATGGACCAGCTGCACGAGGAGCTGAAGCAGCCGGTGGCGCCCGAGGGCCGCTTGGCAGGCTCCGCCGGCGACTCGGACACCTTCAGCCTGGCCATGGAGGAGCCGATTGGGCAGGCGGGGATCGAAGGGGGCGGCAGGTATTCAGGTCGGTAGTTCCGGCTAGGTGACGGTAGGGTCCCTTGATGCAAACTGACGTATTTGTCATCTAACAGGGTACTGACAGATCATAGCTCCTTTCTCTTTTAATCATCTAATGACTTTGATTTCGTGTATTGGCGTCCCTGACTTGACATTGCTGTCACTTGATCGACATCATTCAATTCTGTTTTGGAAGGGTGTTAAAATGTGCTGCGTTAGGCTGTAGCAATCAGTTGGATGGCAAATTTGAATTTGTCAGCTTTCCATCAAATGTAATTGAACTTACAACATGGAAAGTGAAGTGACCGAATGGGGAAAATTGATTAATACATCAGCAAAATATTCCAGGTAGAACTAATACGAAATCACATATCATACTTTCTCATTGTGCCTATAATTATCCACTCCACAAGTTTTTGAATCCATTTTAGTGGAAACACTTTCGATTGAAACGGAGGATTAACAGAGAAATATGCCCTATCATTTAAAAAATTATACCTACATTCAGGAAATATTAAGATTTCGTGAAAAACTGCAAAAATCTTTCCCAACATGAACATATACAGCACACATGACATATGAGCACATTAGTTTGAATACCTACATGAAATTTCTCACCATTTCTCAACCATTTCTCAACCATAAGGCTTAGTCTGAAATCAAAATTCATTTATTGATAGTTACTGCCTAAGAACAGTCCCATTTGGTAAAACGCATTAAACTTTCAGAAAAATTTACTCACTGCCTCACAAAGATTATGCTGGAGTTGAAAAATCAAAAATTCTAAAACTATCATCATCATTTGGATATAATATGTAGAGTTGAATGATAAATTACATGTGGAAATTAAGTGTGATACGCCAATGTCCTCAATATAACCTAAAAAACAACGAATGTCAGAAACCTAGTGTTTATCCCCATAAAGATGGAACTATATAACTGTTTCACAAACACTTTAGAGTGAGAGGAAACGAGGATCTGTCCGTACCCTGTTAAGATGACGAATACGTCAATTTACATCAAAGGACCCTAGGTGACGGTAGATGGATTTGAGTGATGGTTGGTAGAATTCATGATTATTCGTAGAGGGAGGTTTTCTCGATCAGCAAAACACGTTGAGGGGAAGTGATAATACGTGATTTAATCCCATCGAAAATACCATTTCGGAGTCGTGGAAACCTACAGGGTGATTCAGGTTTTGAGGTACAAACTGAATTGGGTGATAGATCTCATAATTTCAAATAATGAAGCGGAGCGGCGAGTGCGTAATTCCATGAGTGCGCAATTGCTTTACAACACGCGTTACGTACTATACTTCGCCTACTGCATAAAAAAAAGTTTGGACAAACAGTCTCAATTATAATTCTTGACAGTTATGTCATCCGCTGTTGACGGCGATTACGCGATCATGACATACTTATACTGGCGGAAAAAACGAAAACTGTGCGATGTGCTTACTGTGCGTAAAGATCTACTTACTGAGGCTGTATCTCGTGTGTTCTGGCCTACTTTCTATAGTGGCCGTAGGTAAAATATAAAAAAATATACCTATAAAATTTTACCGTTCTTAGAGGCCGCGATCGGCTCGAGCTACGACTCGAGCGAGGGCGAGTACGAGACGTGCGACTCTGGGGTGAACGAGCGGTTCAGCGTGACTCCTGATTTCATCAATCGACTGTATTCATATTCTTGCCAAATAAACGAGTTTTCTGCAAGATTTGAAAAATATATCAATAAAATTCGATCATTCTTAGGAGCCGCGTTCGGCTCGAGCTACGACTCGAGCGAAGGCGAGTACGAGACGTGCGACTCGGGGGTGAGCGAGCGGTCGAGCCTGAGCGACGACACCGAGCGGCCGGCGAGCATCCCCAAGCGGCGGCTGAGCCGGGGCGGCAGTCCCAACAGGCGGCAGCGGCAGAAGATACAGACTGCGTGCGTGATAGGTAAGGGATGATAACGCTCTATATTGTGAGATTTCGTTTTCAAGGCCCGCAACTGGGATAAGGACGATCTTACAACACCTCTGAATTGTCATCATAGAATAGTTATTTGTTTTACTAAGCAGAAAGGCACAAGATTAAATGCCTCGGCTGGCGTTTCATATCCAAGACGTAGCGGCGGCTAGGATACTTGCCAAGGCATTGAACCTGCTTTTCTGCCATGTGAAAAATATAATTTTTTCTTGGTCCCTTTGTGATGATGATATTTTTTACTACCTTCATTGGCTTAGATTCCCAACCGAGTGCCTCATCGAACCAATCGACGACGAAAAAGCCACCCAAGCAGCGCTCGATAATCTCCGACATATTTGACGGGAAACTTTTGAGCTCCGTCCAGTGCCTCACTTGTGACAGGGTGTCTAGTCGCATCGAAACCTTCCAGGTAAGATTATGGGAATACCGTACTTATTTTATATGTTGGTTTATAATACCCAACTGACCAAGATCCGACTCTGCTTACAAGTCAAGGTGTGAAATTTGGCAACTGTGCGGCGATAGACTGATTGAGGAATTGCAATTTGAATTATAATTATCTCTATTGCTAGTTTGAATACAACTTTTGGCAATCATCTTCCAGGTGATGTTCTACTTTTCTATTCCGTAAATACCCTTAATTGAATCCGACCATTCTCGATTTCATTCATATCCAGTGTTTGTTAGTATTGAACTCTTCCTGAAGGTTCCTGTCTGATCGACTTAGTGGTGCCATGCGACGTCAGATCTCTCAACAACAATGATTTCGCAAAATTATCCCCACTATTCGCGATTTCATCCATTTATCCGTGTTAGTCTTTTAGGATTGTTGGCGTATACTTTTAGATGATTTATGAATGGATCGTGGTGTCTCCACCATTCACGATTTCATTCAGTTATCCGTGTTTGGCGTTTAGGATTGTTAGCATATACTCTTGAATGAGTTATGGATGAATCGCACTGTGCATCTTTATTCAGTTTGGGTGAGAAACCTTAGTCAAAGTCAAATCCACGATTCTCTGCAACTGCTACTGCCACTGCAACAATATACACATAACGGTGTCAGAAGAGACGGAGCTACTGCCACTGCTACTTCCTTTATGTGAATGACCCCTGATATGTCTAAAGTAGCGCCCAGAGTTCTATTGCCATTACTAACTGTGCTTGCGGCACCTGTCGCTGCCGATCCCGTCTCCTGACAACATCGTGCTGATCCCGCACCACCATTTGCTATTTCATTCAATTATCCGAGTTTGGCGTTTAGGACTGTTGATATATACTTTCTAAGCAGAATTATCCCCACCATTCGCTATTTCATTCAATTATCCGTGTTTGGCGTTAAGGACTGTTGATATATACTTCCTAATGATAAATGAATGAATCGCGTTCTTCTTCTTGTTATTTAGGACCTGTCGCTGCCGATCCCGTCCCGCGACCACATCGTCGTGCTGCACGGCCGACCCTCCGCTGCGCCCACAGAGGGAGCCACCTGCTCGGACGCCCTGATGCCAGTGCAGGACGGCTGGCTGGCGTGGATGTTTGCGTGGTTGCGGTCGTGGTTCTACGGGCCGACGGTCACGTTGCACGACTGCCTCGCGGCGTTCTTTAGCACCGACGAGCTCAAAGGGGATAACATGTACAGCTGCGAGAAGTGCAACAAGCTGCGGAACGGGATCAAGTTCAGTAAGGTGAGTGTCTCGCTAAGGTTCAACTAAGTTAGATTATGCAGAATTAATGACTGTGAGAAGATTTAGAGGTTGATTACAGCCATATTTCCTGAAGAAAGTTCCTACAAACATTTGTCCTTGCTTGCTTCGTTTTCGAGAAGCAGGAAGTCCATGTTAGATAAAGAACGTTTTTTACCAACCTCTTATGGAGTGAACGTGGGGACTCGACCAACATTATTATTATGCAACGAATGCCCTTATGAAGTAGAATGTCATTTCAAATTAGGATAGTGAACATTTAGGTATATGAACTTGAAATATATCCATTGAGTGTTTACGGGGCATAGATAGAACTTTATACTGGACAATATTATTATGTGAATGAACTCATGTTATGATTCTGATAAAAATGCATTTAAGAATAGGTGCATTATCAAGTGCTTGATGGAAGAACAGCTCAGAACAGCGTAAAGAGGTTATCAACCGCTTGAAAAGAGTGTACAGGTAAGTCATAAACGAAATAAGCTGATGTATTTGTTTTCCTCTAAACACAACCTCTTGAAAGCATCTTCGTCCAACTCCGTGTCCGTTATCCCGGTTCCCAGTTTGCTCAAACGTAATTCAAGTAAAGAGAACGTTGTTTGGATGGAACTATTCAGATCATAATGACAACTGCGGCAGTCGAATCTATCCACAAGCCCATCAGGACTTTGTGATCTCATGGACAATATCATACATTGCTTTTCAAACACTAGATGGCTGTCGGGGTGTATTTGTAATGACGCCTACATTTCGGGTATACACCACCACACCCAGCATGAAATGGGCATTCGGTAATTAGAAACCCACGGCAAACCCATATTCGAATGATTGGTACGAATACAAGGAATCTCGTATATCTTGAATATCGTCAAAATCTCTCGTCAGTGGGGTAGCATAGTTTTTTATCAATGATGTGACGTAAATATATCTTATCATGATATCACTTTTTTCTTCAAGGTATTGCAACTGCCCGAAGTCCTTTGCATACACCTGAAGAGATTCAGGCACGAACTCATGTTCAGCAGCAAAATCTCTTCGGCAGTGAGCTTCCCGTTGAAAGGCTTGGACATGAGGCCCTACTTGCATTCCGATTGTGTATCGAAAGTGTCAAACTACGAGCTCTTCTCCGTCATCTGTCATCATGGAACAGCAGGTTAGAATCGTTTTTGGAATACAACAATGCCACAGTGTAGTTACAGACTTCAGAAGAATTTTATAGCAATCAAAAGTGCAGCAAAAAATGTGGTCAGGATAATGTTTTTGACTTCCCTTCCATAACATTATAGCGAAAAACGGTCAAATCTTACGATACTGGAAAAAGGTCCATTGTTCTCTTTCAGGTGGCGGTCATTATACTTGTTTCGCCCTGAACTCGGGCCAGTGGTACGAGTTCGACGACCAGTGCGTCACCAAAGTGGCTGCGGACAAAGTACTCACCTGCGAGGCGTACGTGCTGTTCTACCAGAAAGCCGGCCCCGATGCGGACGCGGTGCGGGAGAGGGCGGAGAAGATGCTGGAGGCGACGGCGGAACGGGTCCTCGGCAGTCCCAGCGAGTGTTTCAAGAGGACCTTCGTGTCACGGCAATGGATCAACAGGTATGTGTTCACTAGAGTTCCTAAATGTACTCGACACTGCTGTTTTGACGTTTTTTGTATATCAGAGTACGGACACTATGGGTTGCGTGCAAGAACTGTCAGATGACTGACGCTGGAGGCACAACATTGAAACACAACCTCACTTTTCTTATTTGTTTACAAGTGATCGAAATAGTTTTTCACAATTATTTTGGCATTCGAATCGTATTTTTCGGCTATTCATCAATTCGCTCATGCCATCACATGTGCTGTTGTAAAATGCACAAAACTGCAGCGGAAGACGAAGGAATCCGGTTGGTACATTATGATCTAAAAGTAAGTACCTACTATAGTCACTCACATATAGTTTTCATTTTTGAAATTTGGTAATTTCTCTGATTTCTCATCTTATAGGAGTAATAGAAATACACGTGAAATTTTTAAAATAATGCAAGAAGATTGGATTCATGCAATCAATCGGGAGGACTGGTCTGACATGCTGACGATCGTGTGTGTTGTGGACATTTTCAATCTATTAGCAGTATTAGCTTGTATTGCAGAAGTGGCAGAAGGCAGAAGGAATTTTAATAAGGAATGACAACATATCATAGTGATAACTATGTGAGATTACTATTTACCTGAAAAATCATATTCCTTCGTCTCTCGCTGCATTTTTTGTGCATTGTACAACAGCATAATGCGCAGGCATGCTTGTATTAATGAATAGCGCAAAAAACACGATTCTTATGCCAAAATATTTCCTTCAGCCTTATCATTCAATATTTCGAGAAGGAATAATTTTCTAATCAATTTATCGTACCCTTGTACTCACTCGAGGAGACAAAAATCAAAGACAGAGAAAGATATATGGATGTACTCTTCTCAGGACTTGTGGAGGAAGGAAGATGCGAGGATCCTTTATCTAAGCGAAAAACATATTCTTGTCCTTGTCTGGCAAAACATATGATTTGCTTCAAAATCGTTTGTGGTTATGTTTGATTGTCACTGCTTGTCTAGTGTCCGTACTCTAATTTACAAAAAAACGTCAAAACAGCAGTGTCAAGTACATTTAGGAACTCCAGTGTTTACAGTTAAGGACCACGCGCACTGAATCGACTCGAAACGGTCAGCACGTTTTGCTATGCAGTGGCGTACATACAATAGATGCATAAAAGCTTCACCTCCCCCAGAAAGATTGAAATCATCCATACACAGATTTTCACAGAATTTTCTTTTGCGGATATATACACTCACCGGCAAAAAAACCGGACACCAAAAAATATGCCCAAATGGTTCATCCTGTAACTTTTTCAATCATTGTCCGATTTTTGTGAAATTTTGATTGAATCGTAGATTCATGTTCCGGAATGTTAGCCTGAATATTAGTTTCCGTGGAAAGTTGATGACTTGATCACTATACAGGGAACATTTAAAATATACTCATAAAAGGAAATCAAATTGCTTCTAGACCTAACCAAAAAAGAACATGCATTCTCACAGGTCAATCCATGAGATTGGCAGCAGACACTAGCTTCACAGCTTAGTGAAATAGCATCTAGTTTTTTAAGTTTTCAATAAATATATGGCCAGGGCAATGTTTCAATCTGCCTTTACTGACATATCATAAAGGGGCATAATCGGTTATGATATGATAGGATATAGATACAGATTTCACATTTCAGCAAACAAATCGTGCAGAGTGCCAATTGACCAAAGGATTAAACATCTGAATTCAGAAAAATTAGGAATTTCACAAAAAGCTTCGAGGATATTGAGTAGTCCACCAACCTCTTGAATTAACTAACCAAAAACATTCACTCAATGTCCATCTGTAGTATTTTCTATAAAGAGTTGGGAATTTCTCAACCACTCATTCATTTTAGATGTGGAGTAGTTAATTTCCTGACATATTTCTTGTGATTGATTGGATATAAGTTCCCTATCTAGAACTCTTCTTTGGCGTTACAAGAAGCCATATCAAAATTATCATAATAGTGGATCTCCGAGGTCTATATAGGCTCATAGATAGAGAGAATCCAACTGTGATAGTATTCTTGATCGAAGACAAGCTAAAAAAGTATGCACATAAAAATGTGCCAATTGGCCGAAGGCTTAAACACCTGGAAGGAGAGACTAGCCTACCAGGAAAACTAAGAAGATTTGACTATATGAAGTAGGAGTGCCTCGACCTCTTTGACTAAACTAACAACCCGTGTTGTACTTTCAGGTTCTATTATTGCTCGGAACCGGGACCGATAGACAACTCCGATTTCCTTTGCCAGCACGGCTCCTTCAACCCCGATCGCGACCTGGACCTGGACAAGATCGCCATGGTGATCCCCTATGAGGTCTATGACCTCTTGTACAAAAAATTCGGCGGCTGTCCCCCGTACATCAACCTGGCCGTGTGCCCGGCCTGTTTGGCCCTGCAAAAGAGGCTCCTGCTCGAAATGGAGACGTTCTTGCAGATCAGCAAAGAGGCGCAGAGCCACGAAGCCCCGCAGACGCACTTCCTTTCGGCTACGTGGTACACCCAGTGGCACAATTTCGTGCAGAAGCGCAACCAGGAGCCTCCCGGGCCCATAGATAATAGCAGGATCGACCCGAGCCAGCTGGATTTGAACGAGGCTGCTGAGGTTCCTGAAAGCGTATGGAACTTCTTTCATAATATTTATGGCGGCGGTCCCGAGTTCAGGATAAGGCAGGCGGCGCTGAGTTCGGATGGGGACGATTCGGGGCGAGGCCGTGTCGATAGTGTTTCTGGGGATGTGGCTGGGAAGAACGTTCACGGACGTGGGGAACCGAGGGAGTCTCAGTCGGAGACTTTGGATGATGCGGAGGGCAGCGCTGATGTGTCGGTGGATTCGATGCCGAATGTCGAGGAGAATGCGGAGGAAGTCAAGGATTGTAGGGCGGAAGTGAGGAGTAAGAGGCACCGGAGGCGGAGGAAAAATTAGCAGACTCTGATGTGCATTAGTAGCAATAAAGTATTCTATTTTTGTTGATGTGTAATTGGTTGTTTTCTTAAGGGGAGAGAATGGGCAATAACTGTAAGATATTCATTTTTTATTGTCATGTAATTTATTCAAATAAATAAACTGTACAAAATATACATATATAATAATATATGAATGCAATTTTAAATTTGTTGTCTTTAGTTGAGAACTGTCAGTGGCTTTGTGTGAACTAACCTAGCGTCAAGGAAAATGAGAAATAAAGATAAATTTGACAAATTATAGGTGTATTATCAAGAAAAACATGATGATGTTTTCCCAATATTGATCTGAATGACATTACTAAAAATAAGGTAATATTTTGGTCAGATGACAATTCTGAATATTCTATTCTCCCAAACATCATATTCCAAAGAGAAATTAACAATAGCTACATAAAAAATGCAATAATTTGTTTAAAAGACCCTGTATCAGATGCTTCCCTCTGTAAGCATAATGATTGCTAGTAAACTTTTACCCATTTTCATTGCAATAATCTTGGGGGAATTGACTGGTGTTTTTTACATAGAACTTTATTTTGAATCATATAATATTGAGATTAGTAAAAATAATATTCAAAAAGGATAATACTTGTGATCTTTGTAGGTAGCCATTGGTGATACCCTTTGGTTTTTATTGCATGTATCCAAATATGCAGTATCTTCTGCATCCAATGCAAAATCAAATATTTGAAAATTCTCCAAGATCCTGGATTTTGTTACAGATTTAGGAATAACACTTATTCCCAATGAGATCTGAAAAAATAGTCCCATGAAGAGATTGTGTAAGAGAAGAAATCACAACATACCAGATATCTTAAGATTATTTGAGCAGGTGATTTGTTATATTTTGAGGCCATTTCAACTACTTTTGGGTCCAAAACAGTGGATTGTGGATATGCTGAATTTACAGTTCCAAGACGCCCTAAGGGACAAAACCCTGTCACTATGATATCTCTCTCCTTACAGAACTGTATCAGTTTTTTTTGGTTGATGTTTGGATTGACTTCCACTTGGTTCACAACAGGCCTGATCCTGCAGTTCTGCAGGACCCGTTCTGTCTGTTCTTCATTGAAATTTGACAAACCAATACTTCTAGCCAATCCTAGGTCAACACATTCTTCCATCCCTTTCCATGTTTCAAGGTAGTCTACTTCACTAAATGAAGACTCATCTTGTGGAAGATCACCACTATTTTCCTGATGGAATTCAAAAGTTGTATATGTGATGAAGTAGGTATTCACAAGTTTATGGATATACCAATATTAACACCTGCTCTTACCTTGAATCCAAATGGCCAATGAATGAGAAATAGGTCAACATAATCAAGCCTCAGGAATTTCAGAGATTCTTTCAATTTTGGTACCACACTTTTTCTCTCATGGAAATTATTCCACAGCTGAAGATATAGAATTCAGAAATCAGATGGTTGGATATTTGCATAATTCACCATGGTTCACCTTAGTAACAATGAAAAGATCTTCCCTTTTAATTTTGCCTTTTGAAAATGTATCCTTCAAGGCATCTCCTATCTCTTCCTCGTTTTTGTAAAACCAAGCAGTGTCGATATGACGGTATCCGACATCTATTGCGTACATTACTGCTTCTTTAACTTCATTTGACACCGACTGAAAAATTGAGAACAATATTGATGAATAGAGCATAATTATTTAAAAAATTGTTTTTAGAATTCTTACCTTGTATAAGTCCCTAAACCAATAGTGGGAATATGAAGTCCATTATTCATTCGCAATGTTTTTAAAGGCTGAGGTAAAGGCATAGTAAAAAAAGGTTTTGAGGTAGGTAGGTACTTGAAATTAGAAATGGAGGATGAGAATTAACAATAATACGTTTATATTGTGATATTGTTATCTTTTATCTCTGTGAACCTTCCAAATTTTATTATTCATAGATATAATTCAAGAATTCAAGTCTAAAAATAGTGAAAATATTTCATAATTACATGATATCAAATCTCAAAGAACACAAAAAATAAAAGTTCCAAAGGAAGGACTTTGACAATAATTATTATTGGCATGTGGCAAGGTGCACCTCTACTGTGCAGAGACTGCTTGATTCCGATACGTCATCTGGTGGGCACATTTGAATCAGTTTATCACGGCAACAGGGCATTCATTCAAGGTCATTTTTGTTATTGTTTGTTATTCTGTTCATTTATTTGATATTTCATGTAATTCATTCTACAAATTACTTTGATTTTGTTTTCATGATTTTCTTGAGTACAGGACAAGAACTTTATATTAATTACAGACACAATTCTACATTATTTTATAAATCATGAATCAACATATCACTCAAAAACCAAAAAAATCAACTGTGTTGCACTAGTAAACTAAGTACCTGATACAGTTCTAATTTTTTGTTAATGTATTGATTTTCCTGTTGGATTTTAAAGTTCATATTTTTATTCCACAACTACCTCAATCAACAAGATATATCTACCTAATTAGCTACCATGTAAATAACTAATTTATTCCTACATTCCTACATAAATAAAAGTCCTGGATTCCAAATTCATTGATAATTCTACATGTTCATGAAGGTATCTTTACTTGTAATGTAAGGGGAGGAGAGAAAACACTATACATGAACACTGAGGGGAGAAGAAAACTGGTAGATCCTTCTCTTAGTACTTCTTTGGAGAGACACAAGTAGATCTTTGAACAAAATATTAATTCATTATAATGCATTGAACTTATACAGTGAAAACATGTTTTGTCAATGTCCTACATTCATTTTCAAAAATTATTAATCAATTAATTCAGTTCCAGAACATAAAATACATAGATAGATATTTTTATTCATATGAATTCAGTATAACAAAATGATACCAAGAAATAATTATCTACCTATAATCACTTACAAAAATCATCTAGGTCATCTGAACAAAGTTTTGTGTTGTGGAACTCCAGATTACTTAGATTTCATCAAAATGGTGAAAAAAAAACTAATTTCACAAGATATAGATGAACACCAGATCTAGGATACCACCTACCTCAACCCCCTCAACTTGATGTAGGTAGGTATATTGTATATTGTCCCTATTAAAATGAATACACTTAATGTGGATACAAATCACACACATATAGGATCATGACAATTTACTATTATTGTTGCAGTGGAGCACCATTCATGAAGAAGGTACCTGTGAGAGATTTGCAGGTTTTCAATATATCTGTGGTGCTATAAAAGATCCTCCAAGATGCTAGAAGTAATCTTGCTTAGGTTGGGCCATTGATGATATCTACTATAAATCCACGGTAACCTCAGGAGCTGTTTTGGAGGGTAATTTCAAATTTGCAAACATTATTCTACATCTACACATGACAAAATGGGAATTTTTGTGAGTTGAAATGTTTCTTTCTTCTTTCTTTTTCTTTCCTTTCTAAGCCAATATATAATGGCTTAGAAAGGGCTTCCCTAGGGCTGCAGCTACAAGCATGTTGTGATCATATGAAATGTCTCCTGGTTTTGGTATGGAATGTATGATACCTAACCCACCATGCGTCTATATACCTCCTTTGCAGGGAGGGTTTATAAACGCCGAGTTGATATTCTCCCCTCATGAGGGTACCTGCCGTGTTTCCATAGAGACATATAAAGGTGAATATCTGTCTATCTGTTTGCTTGAGAATGTATCTGGAAAGGAAATCAATATATCGCCTTCCGTACGAATATAAGGATCTGAATTCTGAAATGTATACTCTGGTCAGTTCTCTTTGCGGATCTTCTGTTTGGCCCGTCTTGACTGGATGGTTTTCTCCGATTTTTCGACAAGTGTCAAACACTTTGCTTCTCGAATCTGCAACTAAACATCACATTTCAAAATATCCATGAGAATTAAAAATGATTTTCATGAGAGGTGGAACATGGATGTCGAATATGAAACATACCTGAATAATATTTCCAACAATCGTAACTGATGGATTGCTACATATTCGCTGTCCTTCCGAATAGTGGTTTTCCCAGTAGACATCTGCTACAGTTTGAATTTCGTGGGTTATAATGAGGACCATGAATGCCAAACAGTGTGCTGCTCGGATCTAAAATTAAGCATCAATTTGAAATTTGAATCGTGAGACGTACATAGAATATAAATCTATAAAGTCTGAATATTTTTTCATCATTCGTAACTAAAACGCGATATATTTTTATGATTATTCATCAACTCTCTCAATGCAGACGAGGTAGGCAGATAAACAACGATTTTCTCTGCAATGAAAAACACTGTATATACCTAACCCACCATGCGCCGACCTCCTTTGCAGAGAGGGTTTATAAACGCCGAGTTGATACTCTCCCCTCGTAAGGGTACCTGTCGTGATTCCATAGAGACATAAAGGTGAATATCTGTCTATCTGTTTGCTTGAGAATCTGGAAAGGAATTCAATATATCGCCTTCCGTACGAATATAAGGATCAGAATTTTGAAAAGTATACTCTGGTCAGTTCTCTTTGCGGATTTTCTATTCGGTCCGACTTGACTGGATGGTTGTCTCAATTTATTGCCAAGAATCGAACACTTTGCTTCTCGGACTGAATATCACATATCAGAAAGTCCATGAGAATCAAAACTGATGTTGAATCTGAAACATACCTGAATAATATTTCCAACATCCGTAACTGGAATGCTTTATATTCGCTCTCCTTCCGAATAGTGGTTTTCCCAGTAGGCATCTGCTACATTTTGAATTTCGTGGGTTATAAGAAGGACCATGAATGCCAAACAGTCTGCTGCTCGGATCTAAAATTGAACATCAATTCAAAATTTTAATCATGAGACGTACATTGAATGTAGTCTGAATATTTTTTCAACATTCGTAACTAAAACGCGATATATTTTTATGATTATTCTTCAACTCTCTCAATGCAGACGAGGTAGGCAGATAAACAACGATTTTCTCTGCGATGAAAAACACTGTATATACCTAACCCACCATGCGCCGACCTCCTTTGCAGAGAGGGTTTATAAACGCCGAGTTGATACTCTCCCCTCGTAAGGGTACCTGTCGTGATTCCATAGAGACATAAAGGTGAATATCTGTCTATCTGTTTGCTTGAGAATCTGGAAAGGAATTCAATATATCGCCTTCCGTACGAATATAAGGATCAGAATTTTGAAAAGTATACTCTGGTCAGTTCTCTTTGCGGATTTTCTATTCGGTCCGACTTGACTGGATGGTTGTCTCAATTTATTGCCAAGTATCGAACACTTTGCTTCTCGGATCTGCAACTAAATATCACATATCAGAAAGTCCATGAGAATTAAAACTGATGTTGAATCTGAAACATACCTGAATAATATTTCCAACATCCGTAACTGGAATGCTTCATATTCGCTCTCCTTCCGAATAGTGGTTTTCCCAGTAGGCATCTGCTACATTTTGAATTTCGTGGGTTATAATGAGGACCATGAATGCCATACAGTGTGCTGCTCGGATCTAAAACTAAGCATCAATTTGAAATTTGAATCGTGAGACGTACATAGAATATAAATCTATGAAGTCTGAATATTGTTTTCAACATTTGTAACTGAAACGCGATATATTTTTATGATTACTCATCAACTCTCTCGAAGCAGACGAGGTAGGCAGATAAACAACGATTTTCTCTGCAATGCAAAACACTGTATATACCTAACCCACCATGCGCCGACCTCCTTTGCAGAGAGGGTTTATAAACGCCGAGTTGATACTCTCCCCTCGTAAGGGTACCTGTCGTGTTTCCATAGAGACATAAAGGTGAATATCTGTCTATCTGTTTGCTTGAGAATCTGGAAAGGAATTCAATATATCGCCTTCCGTACGAATATAACGATCTGAATATTGAAAAATTCACTCTGGTCAGTTCTCTTTGCGGATCTTTTGTTCGGTTCGTCTTGACTGGATGGTTTTCTCCGACTTAGTGGCAAGTATCAAACACTTCGCTTTCTATCTGTTTGCTTGTTAATCTGAAAGAAAAATCCGATTTAGACTAAATTCTTGCTGCATTACCGAAGTTTCCGCAATATTTTCATAAAATAACAATTATACTTATAATTACTATTTTTCCACTGCTGAATATTCCATTTCAATTCAAAGACCGACAGAGATGTCAACAAATGCCTGTTTTGTTTCCATGGCATCTCTGTTGTGTCTACAGCTATCTAAATGTTATAGGCAACTTTCATTCAATCCCAAATGATTGAAAAATGGTTTTAGGAAAAATTTGCAAACTGTACAGGATGTCCGGAAAGGTAATGTTGTAAATGATGATAGAGTGAGCCAAAATAATGTTGGTACTTCATATAAAAAAGTATATCGCGCTTCGTTTCGGAGATATTGACCTTGATAGTAGAATTAAAAAAAAAGAATCTCATGTATAACTTTCCATCTATCATTATTTTTTGAAATACTGAAAATGTAACGAGCACTTGAAAATATCTAATTAACAATTATTCTATGGAATGAAAACTCGATAGTTCACCTAATTTGACTCTAATGAAGTTGAACTTTGAGGACTGATTGTTTTTTTTGTGATGAAATTGGACTTTGAATTAGGAGTTCAACAAAAATTCTATTTCGAAAAAAATGATGAAAAAAAAGTCAAATTGGATGCACCTGTTGAGAAGTAGTAATATAAACTGAATATACCTATCGAGTATGAATCGATTATACACCATGGTTCAAAAGTTATGAGCTGACCAGAGAAAGATTTTGCCAATATCAAGATTACGTTCTGTATCACAGTTATATAAGATGATAGACACATCGATATATGT